AATCGATTAAAAGCTATCTTGACAGTCGGCGATAACTAATTAAATATCGGTGCATGGAAACCCAAAGGGGTTTATATAGTATTTTAGCATGAGTAAATAGATTAAAGTAATTTACGATTTTGAACGATTCATCATTTAACAGCTGTGCTGAATTTTGTGTTTTTTTTTTTTTTTTTGGGATTGCCGTCGCCTTGCTTTGCTGATTAGAATTTTTGTTATTTTTTGGGACTTTCTCACACGGAAACAATCACTGCCGCTGGCTGTTGCCATAGGTAACTGCAAAAAAAATATATATATATTGGCAAATAATACTTACTGGACACACGCACACGCATCTTATCACTGCCCGGTAACCAAATGTGGGTAGCCTTCAGCTCTATAGGGAGTCTAGACTGTAGACTGTAGACTATATAGACTCTGATCTAATGGAATCGCACTTGGCAAATATATATTCGGGGTTTTCTCTGGGTTGAAATGCACTTACCATTGATTTTTAAAAGGGCAACAAAGGCACTGATTGTCTGCAGATACTATAAGGCAGGGGTTTTGTTTTTATTATTTTTTTTAAATCACAGGAAGTTTGTATAAGAAAACAGAAGTAATATAGATAAGAGATGGTAGATGTATAAAAAATAAAAAAAAATATTTAAAACATTTAAAATATGTTTCAAAAATATATAAAATATATAAAATATATAAAATATATAAAATATATAAAATATATAAAATATATAAAATATATAAAATATATAAAATATATAAAATATATAAAATATATAAAATATATAAAATATATAAAATATATAAAATATATAAGAAGAAACTGATTTTAATCGGAAAAAATTGCTTAATAAATCAAATAAATTAATTAACAAATATAAGTATTTTTGATATAAATATTTCAACTTTAAATGTGCTATTTATCGATTTAAAAAAAAAAATCAAAAATTCAAAATTCAAATTCAAAAGCTTTTCAAATTAAAAATAATAAATTTTTGCCTTAGTTATTACATTTTTAAGCTTTAATTTTTCCCTAAAATTTATCTAGTAATTTTTTCAAAATTTTTTAAGGCTGCTAAACAAAATCCAATTACTTAAGGGTTCTTAATCCAGATACAAATATCTATATTCCCCATTAGCTTTCAATTATTTAATACAATAAATTTCCCAGCCCACCTTTGCGTGTGCTCTGTTTTTCCCTGCTCTCTAACAATAAGCATGAAAAACGTTTACATCTCGTTAAGTAGTTTATTTAAATCAATTTTCTTATGTCACGATGTCACGAGCTCATTTTACAATGTATTTGTATATAGTATATATGGTATATATATTCATAGATTATCATTTCAGCCCCTGACACGTTAGTCTCACTTATTTAACTAAACTATCTAATCGCTGGCTGCCGACTGTTTTTATAATCAGTTTAGTTTTAGTTCTCTCTTTTTTTTTATTAGAATTATGGCATTACCCCTTCTAAGGTTTTAGGACTGAGTTCTCTTCGAGTTTTTCTATTAATTTAAAATTGTTCTGCCAGTTTTCATCGGATGTATTATATATTATGTATAATTCTTTTATGATACTTCTCAAGGCTTTTTTGGAAGAGTTTTTGGCGCGTGTTGGTCAGGCGATAAGGGTGACATTATTAGGGCCCCAACAACATTTCGTCTCTGGCTGACAGATGACCAAACCAAACCGAATCCCCAAATAAAATTTGGCCACGCCTTATCTAATCGTTGACCAGGTAGGCACCCCAAGCCCCTACGTGATGGTCATACTCATACCATAACTCCACCATAACTATACATTATGTATATGCATATGTAAACCATATATATTTCGATCGATCGCCAGCTGATATCATTTCTTTCCCCCTGCGATCACATCTCACATCTGGAATCCAGATCACGTCTGGGTGCTTAGTCCGACGACGAGTTGTCCTTCGGGTGTAGTTGAAGTCAACAAACCCACCTCGCCATATGATTTATCTATGCGCGCTTTGAAATTCAATTCAATCTCAGCCCCCTCTTTGTATATATGTATATATAGTATATATATTTTCTGGGAGGGGAAAACAGTGTTAAGGAAGTGCTCGAGCGTGCTTTTCACTACAAGGAAGCGGATTGTGTGCGGGATTGCATTTCGTAATTTTTGCAAATTTCACAATTTCCATTGGGGAAATGAGCCACAGAGCGACAGAGATGCGGGTAGGAAGCGGCTTTGCTGTGTAAATTCAGAGTGCCAGAGATAAGAAAATGTCGTCGACGAGAGTCATAAGTCTCCCCTGACTGACAGATGACACTTGACGGACTCGGAAGACATAAGTAGTACGTGTGTACATTATAGCATAACATGGTTTAGGTGGGCAGTGGATTCCGATATCCTAGCCAGAAAATCGAAATAATAATAAATAATACAACAAATATAATAATAAAAATTATAAAACTTTAAATTTTAATTATATAAAATATTTTAAAAATATATTAATAACTCCGCAAACCCCAAAGACTTGAAATTATATTAAAATATATAGAAAATATTCATAAAATATTTAAAAAAAAATTGCAAACAATAATGATTTGATAATCTATCAATAATTTAGATTTCATCAAAGAAAAAATATATATATTTATTGAACGAAGCAATAACCACAATATTATTTTATTTTCAAGCTGGACTTTGTCCAAAGACTTGAAATTATATTCAAATGGTAATAAAGTCTTAAATATTTCATATTTAAATATAAAAACTCACGTATGCATTCATAATAATGATATGAATAGGTATGAGAAGCGTTGATAGATTGCGTCCAATAAATGTGAGCTTTTTGTGGAATTAATATTCATAAATTCTGGCTTAATGGAAGCTGCCATTAATTAAATGGAAGCCTGGTCTTGTTTTATATATATATATAAATGTAAACCCCACGAAAATCTTAGGCAACAGGTCACCGTTTGGGATTTGTAACCCCCCTTGGCAACACCGCATTCCGTACCCCTTTTTTTCGTGTTTTATTTATATATATATTTTTTTTTTGTTTAAATGATTAAGTTGAGAACGAGAATTGAAATGGGAATGGGAATGAGGAGAATGAGAATGCGAATGCGAATGCGAGTGGGGGAAATGATGAGTTAAATGCGGAAGCCGCGACATCATGAAGCGCTTAATAGGTAGAAAAAAAAAAGCAATAATAATAGCAGGCGGCATCTATAATAGTCACAATAAAATGTATATAATTGTAATGCGTCAACACACACACGCACACACTACCCCCCAACCTCCCCCCTTTTGGGTGGCAACAAAACCAAATAAAGCTGAATTAGCTAAATTCGAGGTAGGAACCCGCCCCATACACACATGCGTCAATTTCTAGTCATGCGTAACCTTCCCTAACTCGATTCAACACTGAAAAAAATACCTTGAAACAAATTAAGTTTATTAAGATACAGCAAAGGTTTTGTTTTTGAGAAAAAAAATAATTTAAATTAAAGAAAAAAGAAAATAAAAAATAAACTATATTAATTTTTACAACACATTTCAACCATATTAAATATAATATAAATATTAATTATTATTATAATTAAGTTTAAATATTAAACTTTAAAACATTCAACTTTTAAATGTTCAACTTATTTTAAAATTTTTATATATTATTATTTATAATTATTAATCATTAGCTCACTCTTCTTGTCTCTCTGTGTATATTAGTTAGATAAAGAGAGAGATACTGAGGGAGGCGCTGAGAGAGCCACTGAGAGAGCCACTGAGAGAGGCACTGAGAGAGCGAGATGTGTTACGTAGAAACAGCGAAAGATCGAAAAGCACGTGGCGAGCGCTGATAAGCTTCGTTTTGCGTGTGTCACCTTGTGTGCGTGTGTTTGTTTGTTTGTTTGTGTGCGTGTGTGTGTGTGTGTTTGCGGTCGTGTGTGACCTGTTATCACTAACAATTTGCCTTAGCTAAGAATTTGAATTTCAAATTAAATTGTACATATTTTATTTGATTTTCTTTTAATTACCTAGAGAATTCAAGAATTCACAAAAAAGATAACGTGTGGGAAAAAAATGTAATAAATTTTTTTAATATTCCGAAAAAATCACAAAATTGATTAGAATTAATGTTTAACAAGAAATAATTGTTTAGAAAAAAATACGAAAAAAAAACGCAGGAAATGTATTATCAAAATAATCGTTCCAAGAACAAGTGGAATATATTTCATTGAAGGAAATGATTCAGTTTTATTTTTTGGGAAACTACATAATGCTAAATATTTATATAAATTATTAAGCTCACAAATATTTAAAACAAAATAAGAAACAATTTGTGTTATGATCATGATAATATGATTAATAATAATTTAATTAAATCAATTTAAATATAATTAGCTAATCTGCTGCCTCTAATAATGGCTCTAAATGCGAACTAAATGGTAAATTGACCTAAAATAATTATTTGCAATTAAATTAAATGCTGGAAATTATTTATAAAGCCATTTAAATATTAAAAAAAAATGTTAAAATAATGCAATTAAAATGAAAATTATTAATAGGAATATTTTACTAATATTTTTAAATTAATTAACATTATAATAATATAAGTTATATGTGAAAGAAATACAAAATAATTTTTTTATAAAAAAAAAAATATATTAGAATTTAATTTATAATATTTTAAAATTAGGGAAATTAGGGAAACCTTAAGAATAAAATAAATATTTAATTAAAATATACAAATATTAAATAAATATTTAATTTAAATATAAAAATATTTAATTTAAATATAAAAATATTTAATAAATATTCAATTTAAATATTTTATAAATTTTTTAATTGATATATTTCACTTGATATAATGTATTTCTATTTTTCTATTATTTATTTATATTATTTTATACATTTTCAACTTCAAAACATAAATTTTATTTGATTTATTTATATTTTTTCATTAAATGAATATTTTAAAAACTTATTTCAACACTTGCTTTTCTCCTTCTCTTCCTTTGCAGACAAATTCCTGGGCCAGCACAATCCGGGCCACCGCAATAGCACCAGCAGTGAGGCCACCAGCGAGGACATCGAGTCGAGTAGAGAGCACCTGAACAGGAGCAAGGCCGGTGCTCTGCTCCCAGCCGGCAGCCACCAGGTGGGGCAGGCCAACAAGTCGCGCTCGAAGCGCCAGCAAAAGTCACGCAATCAGCAGCAACAGCAGCAGCAGCAGCCACAACAGCCACTGTCATCCGATCCCGGCCAGAAGTTGGCCAGCAAGAGTGGCAAGCAAAATGGCAGCGGCAAGTGGAATCGCCAGCAAAATGGCCAGCAGAATCCCGCACAGCAGCAGCAGCAGCACCAACCAAAGCGTGGCAACAACAAGAAAAAGACCAACAATGTTAGTGGTGGTAACCACAACAATCAATCACACCACAATAATCCCGGCAAGAACGGAGTCAACAATCCCACATCGTCGCGCAAGCATCTGGCCAGCACTAGCACCGACAGCAGCAGCTCCTCCTCCTCCTCCTCCTCGGCTCTGAGCTCACCCACCAGTTCGCCCACCAGTTCACCGCATGTCAATGGCAATCGCAAGAGGATCGAACGATCCCTGATGCCGGGAGCAGCACTGGAGTGGCGCCGAGAGCGAGAGCGTGGCCGACAGAATGCAAACTTTTTGGTACCGCCACTGCGTCAGTACGAGCAATTGGATTTGGATGACAGGACACTGGTTCAGCAATTGCGTCGTCATGTCATCGATCATCATCTGCTGCGGGTGTACGGTTATCCCGTGGACTCGGTGGTCCATGACGGTGCCATTGAGATCTTCAAGTGTTTGCCTCACATGAGCTTTGCCGCCGCTCTGGCCGAAACTGCGCCGGCGGTCACTGTGATCAATTGCCACGATGGACTGATGCAGCGGGAACTGGAGTCAAGTGATTCGGGTAATAGCTCACCGCATTCATTGGACTCGGAATCTGGTGGCGAGTGGAGCGGCAGCGAATGCGAGTCCAGCTCGGGATCATCATCATCGTCGTCGTCGTCGTCGTCGGCCTGCAGCAACACCTCAGCCGGTGATCTGACTCTGGCCGAGCTCAAGTACTGCCAGTACGTTCAAGTGGAGCGCAGCCTGGCCAAGCCTTGTGCCCGCTGCAAGCGTCACTTTTTGGTTGATGAACTAACTGGGGAGTATCTATCCCAGGAGGAGTGCCTGTATCATTCGGGCAAATATCAGCGCTACTACGATGGCGTCTGCATGGGACGCTGGAGCTGCTGCAGCGAGAGTGATGAATCCTCGCCAGGATGCTGTCACAGTGAGCGGCATGTATGGACCGGATCCGTGGTGGGCGTCAATGGTCCGTATTATGATTTTGTGCGGACCCAGCATCGCGAGGAGGAGGATCAATCCTCTAGCCCAGCTGTCTATGCTTTGGACTGTGAAATGAGCTATACGGGCCGTGGTCTGGATGTCACCAAAGTCTCACTGGTGGCCCTCAATGGCCAGCTGGTGTACGAGCACTTTGTCCGCCCCGAATGCGATATTGTGGACTATAATACCCGATATTCGGGCATCACTGAGCGTGATCTGCGCTCTGGTGGCGGTGCCAAGAGCCTAGCCGAAGTCCAGCGTGATCTCCTGCAATTAATATCCGCCGATACCATATTGGTGGGTCATGGCCTGGACAATGATTTGCGTGCATTGCGTTTGGTCCACAATACCCTGATCGATACATCCATCTCGTTTCCGCACTGCAGTGGCTTTCCCTACCGTCGGGCATTGCGTCACCTGACCAAGGTCCATCTGAAGCGTGAGATCCAGAGCGGAGATGGTACCACAGGTCATAGTAGCTTCGAGGATTCGCGGGCATGCATGGAGTTAATGCTTTGGCGGATCAATCGGGAGCTGCTTGAGCCCAACTGGAGCTGGGATGATTGACTTCAGATTCCAGCAGCAGCAGCAGCAGCAGTGGTGGCCAGTGGGTGGGTTAGCGTAGGATTCGGGGGGAGGGGGAGGGATTATATGGGGTGGGGAGCGGGCGGGGGCCAGCAAGTACTTTTAGTTGTAGGATCTAGGAACTAGGAACTAGCCACTAGCCACTTAGCCGTCGTTCGTCGTATTCAGAGAGAGAGAGAAAAAAAATAAATAAAAAAAAATAGAAGAAGATAAAACCCAAAATCTCAGCTGGCGCCCAAAAGAGTGCCAACTGGCGATCAAGGGATATGATATGCTGGCGGGACATCTGGAGGAAGGATATAAGGCCAGGCCAGATCAGATGCCGTGTCAGGATACATCGCCTTTTGATAGCCAGCCGGAGGGGGCGCGGCGCTTACATACATATATATATATATATGTATATATACATATATATATTTATATATATATATATAGATATATATATACGAAAATCAACAACAAATGACAAAAAATTAAAACAAAAACAAACAAAAAAAAAACACAGAAAAAAAAGGAAAACAAGTAAAGAAGTAAAGAAATCATCTATACTATATATATATTTTGTAAGCGTATATTTATAGAGAAGAAAAAGAAAATAGAAATTTAATCTACATATATATATATATATATATGTATATGTATGTATATAAACATATTGTTTTTTTTTTTTTTATTTAAGTGTTTAATTTTTTGAACCACGAGACAATGTACTGAAGTTTTAGCTGTGATGTTTTTTTTCACTTTCTCACACATATTTACACACACACACACATACACGCAAAAAAAAACACAAAAATATATACACCTAAAAAAATCTTTATAGAGAAACCAACACGAAAGGCAATCCAAATACTTTTATTTTTGACCAAAACTTTCAAAACAAAAAAAAAACAATCACTCCATTTTAATCATAAAAATTAAATTTAGGTTTTCGTTTCGATTTATTATTATTATTACTATGTTTATTATTATTTTTTAGTTCGTGTACGAATGCAGCATCTCATAAGACATGGACATGGGACTCTTTTTTTTCGATAAGAGCTGCAAAATAATCGATCTGCTTATCGCTGTTTTGCCATCTCAAATTCGAAAATCAAGAAAAGTGCTATGTTTATGGTTATCCTCCTTTTTTTTTTTTTTTGTTTATCCCCCGTTTTGATTATTTATTTAACCATTTTTTCATGCGACAAAGTTCATTGGAAAATTTACTGCAAGTGTATAATTTTTCACATTGTACTCCACATACACATACGCACACCAACACCAACACATCGTAGAAACTAAGCGATATATTTTTTGTTTTCTATCGAAACTATCGACGATTAAGCACTATTCCTGGTTATACCCTAAAGAGAGAGGAATACTTTATTCGAAAATCGATGTTCCTAGCAGCATAAGTTGAGCACAAAGCAAATACAGTGTACTATGCATGTATTTTTATATATATATATATTATTACTGAGAAGAAAAAACGGAGAGCGGTGCAAGAAAATGCACTGGAAAAAAAACGATTCAATTGACACGAAAATAAAAGAAACAAATGATTTGTTTAAAACTAAAAATATCACCTAAAAGCAACTTGTTGTTCTTATTGGGAATGTGGGAATGAATTATCGAAGCAAATATTGATTTTTAATCGATAAAAAACGATAATAAACCAGGATCTGCCTGGTCCCCATTTACACGGGGCGGATGAGTAATATTTTTTCTTTATAATTTTTTTGTTTAAAGCGGAAAAGAAATTGTAGCGTGACAAAGGCACATTGACCCGCAAAAAAAAAAAAGTAATATATAAATCAACGTCACGCCATGCCGAAATCTCCCCCAGATCTTTTTTGGGAATTTTTATTTTTATATTTTTTGAAGGAGGGAGGCCCAAGCAAATGTTTAATTTGTTAACACAAGCCTCTCTTGCACAGCTTAGGGGAATTTAATTACCTTGGCCAAATGCTTACAGACCGCGGTGTTACCTTAGTGCGGTGACAATCAAGATCAAACCGCATCTGTTTTTTTATTTTTCTGTTTCTATTTTTTTTTTTTTTTTTTTATTTATTTTTTATTTGATTTTTTCAGCTGACTGATGCCGGCCCTGCAGTGCGAGGTCGTTGCATAAATAAATGTAAAAATGTACAGTTAGTTCTGATAACATGTGTTTTGTTTTCTAAAATATTATTTAATTACAAAAAAGAAAAAAAATTATATAAATATTATGTTTTTTTAATATCTAAAATATTATTTAATTAAAAAAAATTAAACCAAAAAAATATAAAAATCTTAATTGTTTTTTTGTAATATTTAAAATATTATTTAATTAAAAAATATATATATTTTAATAGATAAAATATTATTTAATTTAAAAAATTCAAATTATACAAATCTTAATTGTATTTTTTTAATATTTAAAATATTATTTAATTTAAAAAATTTTTTGTTTTAAATATATAAAATATTATTTAATTTAAAAAAATTCAACCAAAAATATATAAAAATCTTAATTGTTTTTTTGTAATATTTAAAATATTATTTATTTAAAAAATATATTTTTTATTATATAAAATATTATTTAATTTTAAAAATTCAACCAAAAAATTTAAAGAAAATATTTATTGTTTTTTTTTAATATCTAAAATATTTAATTTAAAAAAATGCAACCAAAAAATTATAAAATTCTTAAATGTTTTTTTTTTATATTTAAAATATTATTAAATAAAAATATTGTTTGTTTTTAATATCTAAAATGTTATTTAATTAAAACAATTCAACTAATACAACTAAAAAACATGAAATATTCAAATATTCTAAAGCATTTGCCTTAAAATTGGTACCCATAGCTAGTGGCTAGTGTTTACTGTACCTGATCTCTGCATTATCTCGCCGATGGTAATGGCCAACAGCTGTAATGCCAACTTGCGGAAGCATTAGCATCTGTGTGATCAGCTGAGGGCCGCTGCTAAAGCCAAATATATAGTGTTTGCCCAACTAAGTAATTAGCCAACGGCGAGTGCCGCCGATCAGGTAAGTTATTTCAGGTATTTCTGCGTCGCAAGTTCGTCTCGGTAATCCCACACACACACACACACACACAGCATATACATATGTAGACTCCTTTACAGCGCAATGCTGCTGCTATGTTAGTTAACATCTCCGAGGCAAAGGTTATCAGCAGCCATCATCGCTGACGTCAGGCCATGTTAGCGCTCAAGTGCGAAAAGAAAATGCCTCCCAGAGTTTGTGCCTTTTTCTCTTACTTTTTGTACATTTCTTTTTCTTCGTTTTTTTCAGTTTGTGTGTGCGCAGTGCAAAGCAGTGAAAGTAGAAAGTGATTCAAGAGGTGGCGGCATGTTAATAATGATGCTAAAGCCAAGCTGATGACGAAATCACAAGCTGAAGAGCACACAGCACTTGAAGAAATAAATAGTAAACAAGAAAATAAGAGAAGGGAGAGAGATTTACCCGCCAGGGGATATCAAGAGTTCTAGAGGGGATCCTGCTCTGCAGATTCAAAAATTCAAAGGTCTCTACATTTTCAGGATATATTCTTGATACATATATATGGTTCATACGTTTTCTATGAGAGGTAAATCTTGTATTTGAAATGCATATGGATTAGATATTGAAAGAGAGATTTGTGTTTATTGGCTTAAAAAATAATTCATAGCTTTTTAAACCTGCAATTTTCTATTGTTAAGTGTGTCATCTCCCGTAACGACTGCTAAATGGACGTTTAATTGCAGTTTTTAAATTGGTTTTTGTGGAATTTGCATGCTAGAGCGCCATGGGAGCCACAAATGTATATAAACAATAGTGTATCTCCCTTTGAGATATAAATTCAGATCAGAGATATTCGCACTTCACAGAGCGACGATGATTGCATAATCCCCATACTGCTATTGCCTTAGATTTCGTTTCGTAGATCGCTATATAGCATATATACATATATATATACAGCATATATAGCATATATAGCAGACAATTAAAACAATTGATGCGATTTCTCGCACAAATGTGCCAAACACGAACGTTCAATTTATATTTAGTCGATCGCCTTCATCCGTCAAATGATCATCAATAGTTGTTGGTCGGATCAACCGCAAAGCTAATCCAAATCCGATTCCCCTCTATATGTATATATATATGTATATATTTTGTATTTTTTTTGTCACGAAGCAGAAAAGAAATTAAATCGATTTAAAATCGATCAGTGGGTTTTTTGGTTTTGTATATTTAATATGAGAAATAATAATAAAATAAATAATAAAAAATATATATGTATTATAAATTACTCGGTTTTTACATCTGTTTTATGCATTATATTTATATTCATTATTATAAATTAAATGTAATGGTTATATAGACTATAAAAAATAAACCAAAAATTAAACTTCACGATATTTGTATGCATATAAATCGATTTTAAATCAATAAATATATAATCTATAAAAATAATCAAAGTTTTTGATATTTTTTTAAACAAAAAAATCTATTTTTTAAAGAATACAGATAGTTCTTTTACCTTCACAACATTGAAATATTTGGCATATGATTAAATAACAAGAGAGAAAAATATATAATTAAATTCTTCAGTTAATAATTTTTGTTTTTAATTTAAAATACAATTAAAATTGAAAAAATATTTGTAATATTCAAGTATTAGATTAAAAATAGTCTAAAAAAGAACCATAATAAAGTTTTTCTTTTATTAAATATATAAATGCCAATGCTCTACCTTAAAATATTTTTAAAAAATCTTTAAAAAATCAATGAAAGTCGGAAGAAGTCATGTCGAAAAATAACTGTATCTACATATATATCTTGACCACGTACACACTGATTTTTCCAGACTCCAACTGAGACAGCATATGGCCAAATGATTCATGAATTTTGTGTAATAATCGCAATAAATTTATTTATCGAGATTAACCAAATAAGGCGAAACCCCCAAAAAACCGAACAATCTGTCGACGATATGGAGATGATTCACATCCAAAGTGGAGGAGGAGGCGTCATCGTTGGCATTTCTTGAAAAGAAGTCGCGGCGGCGTCCATTGTCGGCGTCACTAAGATATATTTATTTATTTTGCAATTTTGGCGTCACCCACCTGCTGCCTGGGATATAAATAGGCTTTAATTTATGCCTACAAAATCACCTTAACTGATTTCACCAATCTTTAAACCCCAAAAAGAGCAACTCTCCAAGGAGTTTCAAAGGGAGTTATATGCATTTTCTCGCTATGAAATATTTAAGAAATATATATTTTTAGTTAATAATAATAATATAATTTTTTTTTTTTTTTTTATATATATTTAATAACCTTTTTCATATAATTTTTTAAGAGATTTATAAAAATTATATTCAATTGAAATAAATATAATTTATAAAACTTTACCTCCTGAATCATTATTTTTCGTAAAAATATAATTAAACTAAAATGTATTAATTATATTAAATTTATTATTTAAATTCTATTTATATTTTTTCCAGGTAAACTATTCATTCTTTTCAAACATTAAGTAAGCTCTTGTCAGGCATTAATATTTACTTTCAGAAATGTAAACAATGTCTAAATGTCGTCATTCCCTGGCATATCGCCTATATAGTTTATAAAGTTTATACAGTATAAAAAATAAGCATAGAGCAGCGACAACAACGTGGTGACGTGATAGTTGGCATCGACTGAGGGAATTTCGCTGAGCGAAGCCCGAGCCCCATGACATAATTACCCAAAACGGAGCAATACGAGTTGCTGCGAGATGATATGTGCGCCTCCATATGGACATATGCTGGTATCATAAGTCAACAGAAAAAATAATAATAATAATACAAAATATGCCCGTTGAGGGGTTCCTGTTTCGGTACGCAGAAAAAAATTATCATTTGTTTGGGGAAATTATGTGGGAGAAGCAAGAAAACGGAGGAAGATTTGAAATCTCTATTAAATAAGTGCTTAAAAGAATGATATGAAATTTAAAACAAAATAAATAATAAATAAAATGGAAAAGAAATTTTTTTTTTTTTGATTCCGAGGTTTGTATAACCTTGCAGTTTGCAATTGGATCATTTAAAACCAATCCAGAACTAACAGGATACATATAAAGGAGAGAGCGAGAGAGAGAGAGAGAGAGAGAGAGAGAGAAAGACACTCGCTCTCTCGCCACTTGCAGCTTACCATTTATTTGGCAGTGTCCAATCTCCAGTCTCCAGTATTCCGCCATTTCTTTTTGCTTTTTCGCTTTTGCTTGCAAGTTGTTCTGTCGGAAAACGCACGCTCCTGCGTAAAACGGGTTAAAAACGTTTAAAACGATCGGAAAAGTGCGGAAAAACATCGTCGCCCTGTGAAAAACATAAATCCAAACGAATTGCGGTAAAATCTATGCTTGGCAAGCGTAGATGTGTTCAGTTTTATTTTTTCTATTTTTTTTTGTGCTTTTCCATCCTTCGTTCGTTGCCATTGCCAGCTTAAGGATTAGAGAGAGACGCTTGGCAGTCTCCACAAGAGACTCTCCAGTATTCCGCCATTTCTTTTTGTATTTTCGCTTTTGCTGACAAGTTGTACAGTCGGAAAATACGCGCTCGTACGAAAACGCGTTAAAAACGTTGAAAAACGATCGGAAAAGTGCGGAAAAAACTCGTCGGTCTGTGAAAAACATTAATCCGAAAGAGAGGCAAAAAAAACTATCCTCTGAAAACGTAGAGCCGTTCGTTTCCTAAGTTTTTTTTTTGCTGTGCAAGTAAATGCCAATTAGCCATGCAATTCAGTCGGAAAAGGAGCGCTGGTATACAACTTGAACAGATAATACAGCGTCAATTAAAAGTAAAAATTAAGCGGATCGTGCTTCCTTCGTTCCTTTCATCCTTCGCTCGTTGGCATTGCCATTTTCGCTGAAGGATTGGAGAGTCTCTCTCTCGCCGCTAGCCGCTTACCTTTTTGGCAGTCTCCACTGGAGACTCCTCAGTATTCCACCATTTTGTTATTTCATTTTCGCTTTCGCACGCAAATTGTACAGTCGGAAAACGCACGCTCCTGCGAAAACGGATTAAGAACGTGAAAAAACGATTGGAAAAGTGCGGAAAAACATCGTCGCGTTGTGAAAAACATAAATTCGAACGAAAGGCGGTAAAATCTACGCTCGGGAAGCGTAGAGCAGAGCGTTTTTATTTTTTTAGATTTTTTTTACTGTGCAAGTGTAAGTGCGAGGGAGGCAATGCGACTGCCAAGTGTCCGTCCTGTGAAGTCCCGTTGGTTTCTGCCTTTCGAGCTCTTCTCTTTGCTTTGATCGTCAAAAGCGAAGCGGAGAAAAGTGTAAGAAAAATAGTGGAAAACGGGCGAAAAAATTACGTCTTTTTTTATTATTTTTTTTTAGGTGAAAAAGTGCCAGTGATTTGAATTATATTAATTATTAATTGATTTTTGTTTTGTTTTTTGTTGTGAAAATTTGTAGAAGATAAAAAGAAAACGAAGCTACAAACAACGGGCGAGTTTAAGGTAATCCATTTTGCTTTACTTTACTTTGTTTTTCTGTCTTTGTGTTTTTGTTCTTTTTTGCATGTTTTCTTATGCACCGCGAGAGCGCGTCATTTGCTCTGCTCTCTTCTTCTTTTTCATGTTAGTTGTTGTGTTTCTAATCCTTGCCCTTGAAACTTAAATGTAAAACAAACGAAACAAAACTGCTCTCTCACGGAGAGTAGATCCCGGAATACGATCCACATTTGTGGATTGTAAATTTCAGTTGCTGTTTGTTTTGATTGCGTGGCTGTAAACTAACACTAGAAATTATTTGTACAGAGAAATGAACACTAATCTAAATGAAAAACACTAAATAATTTATTTATTTATATAAAATTTCATGCCCCCTAGGACCCCCCCGAAGTGCAATAAATAACGACGCTAATCGAATTGCAATCGAGCATGGAATTGATCTAATCACAACTACCCATACGGTGGTTCCGCAATGCCATGCCTGAGTGAATAAATATAATCAAAGAATATGTTATCTCTTACTCACTTATTCAGTTGTACGTTTACAATATTTTATATAATATTTTATAAATATATGAAATATATATTTAATTAAATTTAGTTATTAAAGTTAATAGCTTATTAGTTACAAATATGCCTTCTTAATGCCAAACAATTCGACTTAGCAATAGGAATGTGGAATTTATTTATTTATTTATCGCATTCTTTCACTCGGCCCATGTTTGGGTCACATAGCTCTGGTTTTTCCTGCTGCCAGAGGGTGGGGGTTTTTTCGCCCAATATCGTAACTCTTTGGGCCCCGCCAGCTGTCTGCCGATCAGGTCTTGAAAAATGCAGTCGCCGCGGAATTTGGAATTTTCTTTTCATATATTTTTATTTTTTTTGTTTTTTTTCTGAATGCATTGTGAGTCATATCTGTTGGGTGGCACTTTCGCCGGTTGAAAATGGGGGAAAGGTAACCAGTTTTCATTCCAATTCTTTTGAAAATGAAAGTGCTGTGGAGAAATGCAAGATTTTAGATATTGTTTAATTGAAATTTAATTTGGATTTGAGATTTTTATAATATTTGAAATAGATTTTTATATATTTATGAAGCATATATCCTGGCTTTGTTTGCTATAATTATTTTATAATTATTACTAAATTGGAATTATTTATTTTCCTTAATTTTTAGCCCCTTGTATATGCATTTTGAAATGAAATTGCACCTGGCAGATCCCTCCAACGAACGCTTAATTCAAGTTGAAGGCTTCGGCTATGGCTTTGACTGCCGTCTGCGGCTAAACAAACGCACCTTGGCTGCCAATTTCGGTGTTTAATTTGTTTTTATTTCGTGTGTTTTATCAACTTTTGTTGGTGTCTCTGCTGTTTACCTTCGACGAAGGCACACGTGGGTTGCCGGTGCTGCTCTTGGTGAAAGTTCAAGGCTGTTTGTGGCAGGTAAATGCCGGCAAAAGAAGACCAGACCCTGTGGCCATCTATCTTGCATGAATTTCGCATTTAATGGTTTTAATTTTAATTTAAAATAAATTAAAAAATTAACTTAAGTAAATTAAAAGTAAAGTAAGTAAAGTTAAGTAATTAAAAGTAAAGTAAAAAGAAAATTAAAAGTAAGAAATTAAGTAATCAAATTAATATTAACAAATCAAAAATTATAACAGAAAATGTAATTCAAGCTGTTCCACGCATTACAAATTCAACCAAAATCCAAACCGTTTTTATATTATTTTTTATTTTATTTGAAAGCCCGGCTTCGAGTCGACCGTTACGATAAAAAACAAAACAATTATCGATAGACATTTCATTAAAGTCTAATATTATTTGTTTTTATGCCTTTATAATGCAAATTTACAAGCTATATAAAAAAAAAATTTACAAATATTCTGTTTATTTTCATTACTTTAATAACAAAAACAAAGAATTTAGATTATCCACTCGTGGCCAAAACATCGATAGTCGCTATCCTATCGATTGGCTAGCGAAAGCTTTTGCGCGCGAAAGCTTGCTGTTTCGCTGCCAGAGCTTTTTTCCATATTGATTAGTTATGTCGCTTTTGTTGTTTACTCGCCACATTTTTGCCAGTTAATTGTGCCCAGGCGGTGCGCGGGACATTGGAGTAACCCTAAACACAGGAACAGAAGCCGCAGCAGGAGCTGCAGCTGCTCCCCCCCAAGGAAGAGGCTGTCCAGGCACAGCCCCCACGTTATCGAAACGAAACCAGGTCGCAGCAGGAATCATCGTCGTTGTCATCGTCGTCGTAGGGAGCGAGCGAGCGCACAAAATATACACCGATGTCCGCGGGTGTGGGTGGCGGAGGGAGCATTACCACCGAGCACCACAGTCGCCTCTACTTCCTCAACTCGCCAACGGGCCGCGATCCGTTCTTCATCAAACCGGAATATCTCAGCTATGAGAGTCCCATGCATCATGCCCTCTATCCGGGCAATCGTGGCCTCATAGAGTATAATAATTATACGAGTTCAGCGGCTGCCGCCGCTGCCGTTGCCTCTGCCTCAGCCTCTGCCACCGCCTCCTCCGTCGTCTCAGCCACATCGGTAACCGTAACGGGTGCTGCTGGTGGGGAATCGGCTGTATCCGCTGCCAATAGCAGCAGCAGCGTCACAGTTAGTTCCAGCACAGCAGCGGGAGCTGGAGCAGCAGCGGCGGCGGCATTGGGCCTGGAGAACGGCTTCCCCCAGCAGCAGCAGCAGCTCCAGGGAGGGAATCCCCACCAGCAGCATCAGGAGGTCTCCCAGCAGCAGCAGCAACATCCCCTGCATCACCATCTATCCACCGGTGTTGTTGTGATCGGCACTGGCAGCAACATCAACGACGTTGTTGGCAACGGCGGCGGCGGTGGTGTTGGTGTTGTTCCCGGCCTTGCCAACCTTGGCGTTCCACATCTCAGTCAGCAAATATCGCTGGGCCAATCGTCGCGAGCCCAAAAGGCAGCCCGGCGGCGTAGCAACGAATCGATTGAAGCACGCGAAAGGCGATTGGAGAGAAACGCGGCCCGGATGAGGGATAAGCGATCAAAGGAATCGGAGGCGGAATACCGCATCCGTCTGGCCAAGAATGCGGAGGCGAACCGTGTGCGCAGGCAGAACGAAACGGAAGTACAAAGAACCCTAAGACTGATGAAGAATGCCGCACGGCAGCGGCTGCGCCGCGCCTCTGAAACGGTTGAGGAGCGCAAAAAGCGTCTGGCCAAGGCAGCGGAAAGGATGCGGGTGGCGCGAGCCAGTGCACCCAAGGTAATCAAGCCGCCGCTGGCCGATAGGCTCAAGGGCTATTGAATTTGGTGAGAGAGCAGCAAGGAACAAGATCAAGGAGGAGGAGCAGGAGAAGGTAAAGCCATTTGTGGAGCTGGCTCCAGCAGAGAGAAAGGAGAGAGCCAGGATTGGCTTTTGGAACATACACAGACACACACACACACACACATCTATAAATAATATATATTGTATACAATCCAAGTGGGAGAAGGAACAGGAGGAGGAGGAGCAGACGGAGGAGTACCAGTAACCAGGACAGAGGTTCAATGGGGCAGCAGCAGGCGCCTTTCTAGGATTAGGGGCCTGGGCAATTTTTTTTTATATAAGTTAACATTTAAACAAGATGAAAATGAAGCAAGAGTAACGTAAAGCATAAAGTAAAGTAAAGTAAAAGTATTTTTATAATGCATGCATTATATTCGTACGATATATATAAATATATACATACAATATATATAGATATATATATAGTTATGTATACACACACACCTAGAATAGTCATAGCACACACACACACTCACACATACAAGAACCCCCCCCAAAAAGGAGGAGGAGATGGAGCAGCGCTTACAGGGTGCCTCTGCCTCAACAAGGTGCCTTGCAACAGGGTGCCTCACTGCACAACAGGGTGACAAAAAAGGGGAGACACCAGATGGAACAACAAGTGACCCAAACCATAAAAATCTCAAGCTACCGAGGCACCCTAATGCAGGAATCAGTGGAATCAACCCCCATATGTGTGTGCATGTAAACCAAAACGGACATGTAAGGACAGGCATACATACCCGGCGGCGGCACACACACACAGCAATAATCACACATGAGGCATACACATACGACGACCCCCGTTGCCAGGCACATGACGCAGCACGCAATCCCTAGTCCTGCCCACGCCCACTCGGGGCCCACATGATAAATATATTATTCTAATTAATATTAATTAATAAACATGTAAGTTCTAGTCGAAATTTAAAATTGTTTCAACTTTTTTTCCTTGTTGATTTATCTTCCGTCGAAACAAAAAAAAACAAAATGCAACACAGAATACGTTTATCAATTGTTTTTGCCTTAAACTTAAGATTGAAATACATTTTTATGTATGGTAATATTCAATGTACACTAACAATAACAAGATTATAACAAAAAAACACGGACACCAACAAGACGAAAAAATAAAAAAACAACAACAAACAACTGAAAAAAAATGAATATACTTGAATAAAGTTGCATTCACAATTTTTAAATGGTTTTCTTGAGATTTTAAATTAATTTTGGTTAAAGGAATTTAGGGTTAAACCCTTAAAAAAGCAAAGAAATTTTTTAAAGTTACAAGGAAATTTAAGTTTAAAAAAAAAAGAGGAAAATTAAGTTAATTTAAACATAAAATAAACAAAAAAAATATTTATTAAATGTTTACAACTGATAAATATATTTTTTATCAATTGAATTTTACTTGAAACCTTTTTTTTTTTAAGAACAAGCTAAACCAACATTTTGTTACCGGTAAATTTTCAAATTCAAATCAAGCATCGAATTTTGTCTGTCTCTAAATATCGATATTGCCCACTGCTAGTATCGATAACAACATCGTTACTTTGCTGTATTAGCCGTATTCCATTTTTGAGATTTTTTAGGAGAAAAGCCAAATTCATGGCAACACTGGACGTTGAAATACAACCCTACAATCGTTCTCTACATTTTAACATTCTACATGAGAATTCTACCCCAAAAACGAGAATTCTACCCCAAACTAACATTCCCATACAAATTTGACACTGTTATTCTGTAAGCGTGTAAGATTGATTTCGACATTTTAACATGAACGTTTAATCTTTTTTTTCATCGATATATTATTGGCAACCCTAAAATATCGATAGATTGATACTTTGACTATCATCAACCCTACAATCGTCCATTTTGTCAAAACTCCCAGCGGCATCCAGACGTAAGTTCTTCGAGAAACCCAAATTTAACCCAAAACCCTGCGGTTACTTGGGGAAAAATACTCCTTGACTTAAGGAGATGCCCGGCCACAAGGATCCTGCCACACAGAAACACCTGCAGAGTGCAAACCACGCGACGCGAAATGTGTTGGCGGCGGAGACGCGCACGTGGTTTGGGGTTATGTCGAAACCGTACTAACACGAGTTCTTGGTAATCCTCTACAGGTTCCGTAACTCTTTCCACGTTAACATGTCGGGAGGCTTAGATATTCTGTCCCTCAAGGAGGACGACATCACCAAGATGTTGGTGGCCACCACCCATTTGGGTTCGGAGAACGTCAACTTCCAGATGGAGCAGTATGTGTACAAGCGCCGCGCTGACGGTGTCAACATCATCAACCTGGGCAAGACCTGGGAGAAGCTGCAGCTGGCCGCCCGCGCCATTGTGGCCATTGATAACGCCTCGGATGTGAGTATATATACATATATAAAGATTTACCTGTGTGTCCGCGTGGCTTAACATGATGAATTTTTTACTAATCTTTCGGGTATGAAATGCAATGATTTCAACTTAACCGCTGACTAGCCACGCTTCACAAGGCATCTGTCCCTTTAGAGTCTCCTTTAGAAGCCGCCTTACTAATATCTCTTTTTATTTTCTCTCCATGCGGCAGGTCTTCGTCATCTCGTCGCGTCCCATTGGCCAGCGCGCCGTGCTGAAGTTCGCCAAGTATACGGACACCACTCCCATTGCTGGCCGCTTCACTCCCGGTGCCTTCACCAATCAGATTCAGCCCGCTTTCCGTGAGCCACGTCTGCTGGTTGTGACCGATCCCAACACCGATCATCAGCCCATTATGGAGGCCTCGTATGTGAACATCCCGGTGATTGCCTTCACCAATACCGATTCGCCGCTGCGTTACATCGATATTGCCATTCCGTGCAACAACAAGTCGGCCCATTCCATTGGTCTGATGTGGTGGCTTTTGGCCCGCGAAGTTCTCCGCCTGCGCGGCACCATCTCGCGCAGCGTCGAGTGGCCCGTGGTTGTTGATCTGTTCTTCTACCGCGATCCCGAGGAGGCTGAGAAGGAGGAGGCCGCCGCCAAGGAGCTGCTGCCGCCACCCAAGATTGAGGAGGCCGTCGATCATCCGGTTGAGGAGACCACCAACTGGGCCGATGAGGTTGGCGCCGCCGAGACCGTTGGAGGAGTCGAGGACTGGAATGAGGATACCGTCAAGACCTCCTGGGGTAGCGATGGCCAGTTCTAAGGCAGCTGCTTGTTCACACAACGACGACGCCTACTCTGGCGGGGCATAAATAAACATTTCTTATGTTTTCCATCTAAAAATCAAGAGTTTGTTATTGTATGTTAGTTCTATAAGGGATCTTTTTGCCTGAGTTTATGCACTTGAGGGGGTTTTCTTTTGGAGTATGAGTAGTTTTTTAGTTAAATTCAAGATTGTTTTAAAGTTAATATCCTAAAATCTATCAATAGTCAAGTGATAAATGACTAGTTTAATTGAGAAAACTAATATTAGGTTATTTTGACTGAAATAATACCCTTAAAAGGGTATTAAAATTTATATAAAATTTTTAAAGCTTAAATTAAATAATTAAAATATTTTTGATTAATTTTTTCCCCAATTTCGGTACATTTTCGACCATTTCACCAATTTAACCCCTCGGAAAATTAAAAAAAAATACCCTTAAAATTATCCATAATCTAAAATAATCATTTTTAAGAAAAATTAAAGCTTACAAATTTAATAACTAAGCCAAAAATGCATTAATTTTACTTTGGAAAGCTGCTTTGAGTTAGTTTTTGCAAGTTTAACAAATCTGCTAACTAAATTTAATTTATTTTTTAAATGCATTTTTTCCCCCAATTTTGGGCAATTTTTTGAACAATTTAACCCCTCAGATAATGTTGAAAAAATTTTAAAATTTATTTTTCAAGCGGGCATGGCTAGATCGACTCCGGCTATTGATGCTGATCAAGAATATATATGATTTATAGGGTGGGAAATGACTTCTTCATTGAGTTATTAGCTTCTGACTAAATTTATCCGTAATTTTAAATAATAATTTTTAAGGAAAATTAAAGCTTAAAAATTAAATAACGAAGCCAAAAATGCATTAATTTTAAATTGGAAAGCTCTCCTATGTTAGTTTTTTCAAGATAAACAAATCTGCTTCCTTATTTTAATTTATTTTTTTAATGAAAATGTTCCCCCAATTTTGGTCAATTTTTGGGCAATTTCAACAATTTAAAAATTAAATATTAAAAATTTTATTTTTCAAGCAGACTTGGCTAGATCTGATCATGCTGTTGAAGCGGATCAAGAATATATATATTTATAGGTCGCAAATTACTTCTTTAGTGAATTATTAGGTTTTCATTGAAATTATAATACCCTGTAGAAGAGGTATACAAATGTTCATAAACAGTGAAGTTTTTTTTTTTCGATAATTTACAGTTTTTAAAAAATATATATAAAATTTAAAAATCCTCAAAAGGTAGTTCTTAGCCATGTTTATAATCAGAAATAACTCGAACTAGAAAGAGACAGACTCCCCACAGACAAGGACAAATATAGAACAAAAGAGAGAGAGAGAGAGAGGATTCAATTTTACATTATTAATTTATTGTTTTTGTTTCAGTTTTTGTTTTATTATTTTTTTTTTTTTTTGTACAAATAGAAAACAGTTTATTTTTTAATGATTTAGCAATTGGCAAATTGCTTATATCTTTTATACATATATCTCCTCTCCGTATTACAGTTTTTACGGTTTTAGTTTAGATTTTAAACGACAGCAAAAAAAAAGAGGACTGAATAACTGAGTTTCTGAATATACAGGCGTTATCTTAACGTTTTTATACTTTTTGTATTCCCCTTTAAAATCCTTTTTAAACCAGCGATTTTGCCTATATATTTAGAAATTCAGTTATTCCGTTTTTTTTGGGGGGAAACAAGAAGAAAAAAAATACACGTAATGTTAAAAGTTAGAGACAAAAATAAAGTATGCTTCTTGTTAATTAATCATTGTACGTACAACTATGCAACGCTTTTCCACATCATTCTAATTTTGGACAAAAGTAATAAGTAATAATATTTGTATGTATAATATATATATAAAGAATTTTGGGTTTTGACGGGTATGGATCTCTCGAGCACTACTTGAATGGATTCGGACGCGCCTTGAAGACCGTCATTTTGCGTATCTCCTTGATCTCCTCCTCCTCGCATCGTTTACGTTGTTCCTCTTGCTAAAACAAAGAGAGAGAGAGAGAGAAAGAAAAATATATAAGTCTAGAGTTGATTTGAGTCCGAGTCCGAGTCTGACTGGACTGCAGCAGGCCTGACTCATCCATCTAAAACCCTATCTCTGGCCCAAGCTGAATCACAGCGGGAGTTTCAGGGTGATAAGAAAGCCGCCCCCCCTCTTAATATCTTCTGGTACGACCCTGCCCGGTTTTTTGTTTGCCAGCGGAAAATAGAGCAGAAGCTGAGGCGGGCAGCTGATAAGATTATCGCGCAAATGCCAAGAGATGGCAACAAAAAAAAAAAAAAAACCCGAGAAACTGAAAACGAAACCCAGACAAAGCAAGGTCGAGTCACGGGGCTTTAAGGATATCATTAAGGATCATTACCATTCATTTCAATTCACCAAGAGCTCAGCAAAGACTTGATGGCGCGGTGGCAACGACAGCGGGCGAGCCATGGACACTGGGAACAGTCGCCGCCGCCGCACTGGTGGTGGTGGTGTTGTAGGGCGAGGCAATCGGCGGCGTTGTAGAGTCATCGGCCGCGGAAAGCACACTGTTGTCGCCATAGAAGCGCGGTTCGTCATGCGACTCAACTCCGGGCGAAACAATCTCCTCATCCGAATCCTCATCGTTGGAACTATCCCCAGCGGTTGTCGTTGTATTGAGCTTGTTGTCGCCAGCGCCAGCGCCGGTAGAGGCACCACCGGCAGCAGCATTAGCAGCCGGTACATGCGTCAAGCGTTCATAGCAGGCATCACAGACCCGCAACGCCTTGGTGCTCTGCTGGGGCAGTAAAAACTTTTTGGCCGAACAGCCGGCACAGACAACGGCACCGCAATTGCGACAATGATGCCGCCGTTGAATAAACGTAAACTGGGTCTTCTTGCAGTGCATACAAATGCTGGCATCGGTATCTGGCACCCAGACAGCGGCATGATTCTCCACCGGCTTCTTGCCGGACTTGCGCAATAAATCCTCCACACACTTGTTGATATGGGCCATCCATTCTTGCTTTTCGGTACTGGTGGCGGCATAGACCACAAACGATTTCGTCGTAGTCCGTATATACCAGCCATTGCGATACTGCTGATTGTCGGCTATCGACTCCAGTGATACCTCCTCCAGTGGCATTATGTGCTGCTTGTTGTATTTCTTTTTGCCAATCACAATGTTGCCGTAGACGAGAATGTCGTTGAAGAGAAAGAATTGACGGGATTTGGGACGCTTGCGGCACATCTTGGTTAGGACACCCTCACCGACAAGGACGCGACCCTGCATGGCCAGTGGAACACCGGAGCTGCCAAAGCAATTCTCCACGGACGCAATGCGTCGGGTATTGGCCTCGGAATTGACCAAACGGTCAACCATGGTTGGTGTGTGTGTTTGCTTGTTGTGGCGAAAGTTTCTACTGTTGCTGCTGCTGCTGCTGCTGCTCCCCTGTTGCTTTGCCTTCCGACGCTCTCAAAAAATGGCTTCAAAGTCGGAAATACGAAAACCGAATTCCGAAATTTAGCCAACTGTGACGACAGAGGGGGGGAAGAGCTTTGTATGGGTGTGCGTGTGTGTGTGTCTGTGTGTGTGCGTGCGCTGTGACTGTGACAGCGCGGGCGTCTCTGTGTGTGACACTCGCTGCTATAGAATGTACGTGTGTGTGTGTGTGTGTTTTGTGTGTTTGTAAGGGCAATATAATGGGGCGCAGCTGTTGCAAATCCTGTGCAGCGCCTTGCTCCTGCTTCCGCTGCTACTGCTGCTGATAGCGGGTCGTCCTGGTCCAGTGCACTGGCCGCTGCTTGTCCGGTGGCCTGCTGCTGCTCCCGCTTTATGCAATGCACGACTATTAACTGGCTTTTTCTACGCCGTCCAAAAACGTCATGACTCACTCACACCACTAACAACAAAAACAAACTTGACTGCGACACTCGCTCGGCGCTCTTCACTCTTTTGCTCTGCTTCTCTCGCTCGCTAGCTCCCTCTCTCTCTTTCACATTGTCCCGTGCTTCGCTCGCGTCGTCGTTGTTGTTGTTTTTTCCCTTGCAGTCTGCGATGTCCGAGTTTTAGTTGTTATTGCTATTTATGTTTTGGTTTTTGAAGCGCGTGGTGGGGAATGAATGGTGTTGATACGGTTTGAGAGTCGAATTTTCGAATTGAAAATTGAAACAATTATTCCGAGGCACTCTGGCGGAGCTAAAGAGTGTGACCATTTGGCCCTCCTGCGGGAAATCGCACTTTTGCATATGACCTGTTCTTAGCGTTATCGATAACTGCCAGTGTGCACAGCGCGAGACTAATTTTAAACAAAAACAAAAAACTGTTCCTAAAATTGCACTTTTTGGCTTAAATATTCCCCCTAGGCAACAATTGTTAGTTATTAGTCTTCATTTATTTACCTCCTTCTTCTTTTGAACCTGCCTCTCCTGGACGGCATCGCTATGCAAATTAAATGTCCTGTGGCGTGTGTGCGGATGCACTGGCTCCTGGCTCTGCTCTTTGTCCTGGTTGTCCCTTTTGGCCTGCCGGCGCCGCTCCACGCACGCCTGCCAGTACTTGACGGTTTTGGGCGTCCGCGGTACGGTGATTCTGTGGACGACCACCTTGTCTTCCATGCGCTTATGCATGGCCTTGAAATTGGGCATGGGTCGGCTCTGGAATTGACGCGCCTGGCGATCCTCCTCCTCTTGCCGCCGACGCGCCTGCTGTCGATTGCACTCGTACAGGTCCTTGAAGGCGTACGCCCTCGGTACAGGAGCAGCAGCAGCAGCGGCGTCGGCGTCTTCGGCTCTGGCTCCTCCTTCATAACTGGGCCTAATTGGGGTCCACTGCATGCGCAGGTTACTGCGGGTTACTGGGGCAGCGTCAGCCTCGGGCATGTTCTCAATATCCTCCTGCTGAACGGGACTTGCTTTTGTTGGCTCCTCCTTGAACTTGGAGACTTTGGGAGTGGCACAATTGTTGAAGATGATCTGCTGCTGGTTCTTATTTCTCAAATTGTTGTTGTTGGTTTCGTTCTTGGCTGAATATTGCGGTAAATGGAAAAGGGGAAAGAGCGGGAAAATGGCGCGTCTTCATTAGTTCACCGTTTAGGGAGAAGCATATACCCACCGAAGAAATTCTGGGAGTGATCCAGCTTGTAGTCGCCCACGCTAATGGCACTCCAGTCAAACTCCGGCTTCTCGAACGTCTTGTTGAGTTCGTCCATTTTTTAGATCTACTTATCACAATAAAAATAGTTACAAACGCGAACTTCAAACTAGAGTCGGGACTCGCGAGATCAGTTTTAGTGTGGCCGTAGGCCGTGTAAAGCTAAAATCCAGCAATCACTGCCGCCACAACGGGGCTTCACAGCACTGATTTTCTAAGCCGATATTAAGCCGATTTCGATTGCCGAAAGGTGAGCGCGTTTTTTAAAATACAAAAACACACATTTATTTTAATGAAGGATTTCTTTAGTTATGATTCCCTCTTGTGGTCCGGTTCCCAGTTTAAGGACTAAATGGAGTTTTTGCCTTGACAGCATATCATCTCCATTTCCCCTAGGCCCCAACGGCAGAACACCTGTCCGTGTGCACCTGTCGCTGCCTCCCCCGAAAGCCTTGAAAGCACCTTGAAAGCTGCGCTGGGGCTTTGACTTTGGCTGAAAGCGTAAAGCTGCCAGCTGTCCGTGTTCGCAGCAGCAGGATGCCCAAGCTGCGCTTGTAGTCCGTAGTCCGTGCTGGGCAGCGCATGGCAACAGGTCCTGCTGCACACATTGCCCAGAGCACCTGCACTCGAGTCCTTTAGCTTGGAAAACGCGTACTTTCGCGTCAGAAAGAAATCGCAGCAAATAGACAAACCCAGCTACGGACAACTCCCGGGCTATCCTCCGGGTCTAGAGCACGACAACAACAAGAACAACAACACCAAGAAGCGCGACGAAGTGGCTAAGACAGCATCTAAGCATCCTTGAAAGCGCCAAATCGAAGCACGTCGTCGCCTTGGGCGCCAAAGTCAAAGGCAAATCGAAGAAAGATTTGGGAACGCTTTGGGCGTTGGGACGGAAATGCGTGCCGACGCGCTTCTTTTTAATTAACCGGATCTGGGTGAGCCCGAGGTGAACCGAGGTGAGTGGACAGGTGAGCTTGGGCTATTTTTAAATCGCAGCTATGCCTGCACACAGTTGCAATTAAAGCCACAGCACACACACGGACAGCTTATTACAGGGCACTTCTAGATTTAATTGGAGGAAGGCTAAGGGGTTGACAGTTGGAATCAGAGGAATTGCAGCAGCCACAGGAGGGGGCCTTGAAGGGCCGCCTGGGCTGGCTGGCATTTGTTTGCGTTCCTAATTGCCAGCATCCCTTGGGATGCTATTTCCGTCGACCACCTGACCACCTGAGCCCGGAAACACGACAATAAGATCTTGCGAATCAATAAAGGTTTAAAATTAACCGTCAGTGAGAGTCCCCGGTCTCAGTGCCTGCTAGCTGGCAGAGCGGGATGGCCTATATTAGCTGCTGTGCGTGCATGCTAATTCGATTTCCCGTTTCCCTTTCTCCTTCGCCCTTGGTACTCGCAACAAATAACTGTAACTTGTGCGTGCTCTTTTAGCGACAGAACGGAAGTAACGGGACAGATGGTCGGTGACAGCGGGAGGAAGCGAGAGGAAATTACATTACAAGACATCATCCGGCGACGGCGGCGACAGCAAAGGATTCAATGCAACATAAGTGGGAGAGTGACAGGCAGTGGGGTTTGGGGGCTGCCTGATTGATTGTGTTGTCTAGCAACCACTTGATGGCGCGCTATACTACTACCCCGCCAACGCCCCCCACTTTGCATCCGACCGCAGACAGGGGGAGTCTGTAATCCGCTTAGTACGCGGGGGAGGCCAGCTTACAAAGTGAAGCTGTTTCCTCCCCCCCACCACCACCACTCTTTTGAACATTGGCCGTTTTGTCTAATTAGAGAGAAAGAGGGGGAGGGAGAGAGGGCTGCATTCCTGGGCTGCTCTTTGAGCTTACCTTTGTTGTTGTGGTTTTCGTTGTCCTCTCTTTGCCTCTTTTGTTTTGGCTCGCACCGTTTACAGCTTCCATTTCCCCTACTAATTTTGTGGCGGGCATGCTTAAACTCTCGATCGGTGGGGCGAAGCGTATGAGGAAGAGGATCCCAGGTCGGTTGTGTGTGTGCTTATCAAAGGTTTTTTTTTTTTGTATGTTTGATGTTGTGGCGCAACCATCAAAATGGTACTCCTCTTCCTTTTACTCCTCCTCCTTCTGTACTTTGTGGCCTCCCCCTTATCGAGCCCATTCAACAAAACCGAAATTTTGCCAAGAACGAGACAGAAAATCAATAAATCGGGATTTAATGAGTTTCAAATATTTGCCACGGTGCGGGTAGCTCTATATATATGTGTGTGTGTTTGTGTGTGTGAGTGGGGTCGCATTATTGGGGATGGATGTGGATGGGGGGATTGGGGATATATGCTTATGAAGATGTCTCTCGACTTGAATACCCTCCTCCGCCTCCTGCTTCCTTTTCCTTGTCACCCAAAGCCCGGGCTTAAAGAGGGACGGGGCAGAGAACGGAAACAGGAATCCTGCCATCGCTCTGGAAAAGCTCGGTCAGAGGCAGCAGCTCATTTGATTCCCTGCTTCCAGGCGGACGGGATGCCCTGAAGGAGCTTGAACGGAGGAGATCCGAGCAGCAGCAGCAGCATGATGACGGGCGCCAACATCGACTACGACTATCTGCTCAAGTTCCTGGTGCTAGGCGATTCAGGCGTGGGCAAGACCTGCCTGCTCTACCAGTACACAGATGGCCGTTTCCACTCCCAGTTCATCTCCACTGTGGGCATCGATTTCCGCGAGAAGCGGCTGGTAAGTATTGAGAACCATAAACAGGATGAAACAGGATTAAACCTGATTTGAATTCGAACTTTCAGACCATTCCAAGTTTTTCGAAAAAAAAAAAAAACTTATTAATAATAAATAATTAGACACCTTTAAACCCTAGCCTTAGCTTTCTTCTGCCATTTGCAGGTGTACAACTCCCGCGGACGTCGCCACCGCATCCATCTACAGATCTGGGACACCGCCGGCCAGGAGCGCTTTCGCTCCCTAACCACAGCCTTCTACCGAGATGCCATGGGATTTCTACTCATCTTCGATCTGACCAGCGAGAAGAGCTTCCTGGAGACGGCCAACTGGCTCTCACAGCTACGGACGCACGCCTACTCCGAGGACGCGGATGTGGTGCTCTGCGGCAACAAGTGCGATCTGCTGCAGCTGCGCGTGGTGAGCCGCGACCAGGTGGCGGCCCTGGCCAATCGCTACCGTCTGCCCTATATCGAGACCAGTGCCTGCACCGGCGCCAATGTCCAGGAGGCCGTTGAGCTCCTCGTGGGCCGTGTTATGGAGCGGATCGAGAATGCTGCCTGCAATCGGGAGCTCTCCCTACTGCTCACCCAGTCGCGTTGCCTGCCGAGCATTGCCTACGGCCCACCGGAGTTGCTGCGTCTGCATGAAAGGTCGGATCAGGAGCCCTCTGCATCGCAGCGGCGGAACTGCCGCAATTGCTAGTCCAAATCGAAGATTAATACACCCATTCCCCCTAATCCCAGCACCACCCGCAGCCGAGTTAGTTGTTTATATCTCGTCTACTGTTTTCCGGATCTCTACATGTGTTTCGCTGTAAATAAATGTTGATTGTTGAATGGATTCAATGATGTGCCAGTTTATTTGGGTGAACAGCAAGCTCCACCTGCTCTGGGAATCTTTGCTGATAAAGTGGGGAGTAGGAGGGAGTCATGATAATTATCCGATCACTGTGAAACTCTGCCAGATACCAGATAATGGCTACAACTCACGATTTTATCGTCGAAAGTAACAAAAAAAAAACGAAACGTTTGTAGAAACTGGAGATGGCAAGGCAGGAAAAAGTTCAAGGACAGCATAACGGAGATCCTAAAACCGGAGTAAAGAAATTCTTTTGCGTTTTTCGGCTCTCTCCGCTCTCCACTAGATGGCAACAAAAGAGAGCAGTGCTGCTCCAGGACTTTCCAGAAATAAATTGGTAAACATTATTCGAGTTTTCGGTGTTTTCCAGGCTTTACTTTCAGGTCAGAATCCACACATCAGCGTAGCTAAAACTAAAATTAAAACCAAAGGCACTCTCCTGGCACTACCACTACTACGCTCCTCGATCCACTGACGATAATACTGCACATCCACATAGACGCCTGGCAAACCTGGCTCGGCGCAACCATAGCCCCAGGATACCACCCCCACCACACGCCCCTCGTGCACCAGAGGACCACCGGAATCGCCCTGACAGGAATCAGTGCCTCCCTGCAGACGTCCAGCACACATCATTCCAGGCAGTAAACCGGATTTGTAGATCATCCGGCAGGTCTGGTGGCGAATGGTGCTCACATTGGCCGTCAGCAGGATGTTGGACAGGGAGCTCTGGGAAGACAAGAATAAGAATCAACAATCAATCAAAGAATATAGTACAAGTTTGACTCAAAACTCACCCTTTCCGTGCGCCCCCAACCGGCCACCTGGCATACCCTTCCCGGTGGCGTCACCTGACCAGCCAGCTGAATGGGTGCCACGCTGAGATGGCCGCCGGTATTGGGTAGGCCAGTGCTTAGAAAGAGTATGCCCACATCGTCGCGCATACTGTCCGGACTGAAGGTGTGCATGTAGGCCATGGAGCTAACCGGGGAGACGATGGTGCCGTTGTGCCGCTCAAAGCGATTCAGGGTGCCCAGGACCACAACGAACTCGCTGGCCTGGCGGTAGCGCTTACGTTGGTTGCTAAGGATTCAAATCAGTCCGATTAGAAGAGGAGCAGGAGAAGGAACAGGAGCAGGAGCAGGAGAAGAAACAGGAGCAGGAGAAGGCACAGGAGCAGAAGAAGTAACAGGAGCAGGAGAAGGAACAGGAGCAAGAGCAGAAGTAGAAGGAACACGAGCAGGAGAAGGAACAGGAGCAGGAGACTGAGACTAAGGATAAGCAGCACTTACTTGTACAGACAGTGGGCGGCGGTGAGCACCTTGTTGGCGGATATGAGGGCTCCTCCACAGATGTGTCCACTGCCAAAGTTGTTGTCGTGTCGTTTCAGTCGAATGGAGACCAGGTGTCGTGTCTCATCCACACGGGCTATGCTGCCATTGATGATGCGCGGCTCCTGTTCCGGTTTAAACGCTCCACAGGTGACCAGCAACAGCAGCAGGCAAAAGTTCATCATTAAGCAGCCGAGTTGCTTCAGCTTGCGACTCTCAATGAAGTGGGAGATGGTCTAACAATTGGCAATCAGCGTCGCCTGCTATCAGTTTCCCGATAAGGGCAAACACAGCACATATATTAGGCCAAGATGAGGCCTCATCATTGGAGAACAAGGTGGTGTGCACAGGGAGAAATGTTAAGGCCCTCGTAAAATCTTAAACTTGATTACAAAATTTACTTAAAAATGTTCAAATTGAAGTTTTTGGAACGCGAAAATGCAGTTCAGTTTAATAATTTCCATATTAAATAATTGTATTGTGTACAAATTTGATAGAAAAGCTTAAAGTTGTTGTTACTTTTTTGAGCCTAGGTCAAAAATAAAACCTCGAATTTTGAAATATATAAAAATGTGTGAGAAGGGAAACCAGGGAAAAGCCCAGGATTTATCCTTAATATTATGATATTTTTTCGTGTATAAAATTTGATATAATTTTTGTCTTAAATTAAATTAGATTCGTTTTTCAGTTTCGAAATATATAAAAAAGGTAAAGCCATACCTTGGACGGATCGGTACACGTAGTTTCTTCAAGTGTAAAATGGAAATATTTGATGTAATATTGGAGGGAAGAAGGCACTTTTTTATGGTTGAGGGAGATTGCTTTTTGGGTTAAAACTTAGGCTACGTATTGTGGAATGCTTTGAAGCAGCGGCTACCAGTTGCTTTTATATGTACCCCTGCAGGCTGCGCGACTGGCTGTGATGATGACGCGGCGGCTGATAGCCCGGCTCCTGCATTTCCATCTGCATTACCAAATTCTTTTGTTCGCCGCGCGCCTCAAAGGCCTGACGTGCCTCGCGCTGCAAAATCAAGGCGGCCAGGCCCAGCAGCATAAAGGTCACCACGGCCAAGGCATATGACCAGCCCAAAACATTAAACTTGGGATACATGAGCCAGTCGCGGCGATAGGCACAGCCCCCAAAGATGCAAACGGCCAAGAACATGAACAGAGCTGGAAATAAAGCCGAAAAATTACTCAAGTTACAAGTGGCAGGTTGCACTTTAACATACAGGACACGGCCGTTCCTATGTAGGAGAGGCGTACAAGCAGCCATTCGTACTGAAGCACCGGCTTCAGCGGCAGCCGGATGATGGTCAGCGACAGCAGGGCCAGCACACAAAACACAATGATAAAGGACATGGTGACAAAACCCTGAACGGCCATTAGCCAGCCGGGCAACAGGTAGGCACGGATAATATAGTAGTCCTGCCAAAAACAAACATCATGTTACATTACAGGAGCAGGACAATCAAATCCTTCTACTTACATGCGAGAAGACATTATGACAGCCGGTGTATTGCTTGTAAAACGGAAACTTGGGATATACGAAATCCTTGAAGCAATACTGCCACAGTCCCATATTCTTGAAGCTGCTGCGCGTCTCCTCGTACGACTCAATCCAGTACGGCGAGCAAAAGGACATCATCAGGACAAAGAAGCTGGCAAAGGTGACAATGGCGCCGAAGACCACACCATCTGCAATGGAAGAGACGAGGTAAATATTACTTTCCTGGGGCGGGGCTGGGCCGGGGCGTGTGCGTCACTTACTGGTGGCCCGCGGATAGTCGCCCTTCTCGATGCCCGCATCGGTGGTGTCCTGCGATTGCTGCTTGTTCAGTTCGCGCATGGTGTGTGTGTGTGTGGCTCAAGGATGGCTGCCTGGATTCAAATAGGTTGATCGCACAATTGGAGCTATGAAAAAGGCACTTTTCTAGGGCGATTAGCGCAGCGTAAACAAATGTAGCCTCGCAACACACCCAATCTAGAGATGAGAGTGAAATCGATTAAGCCACTCGATTAATCGATGTTTTTCAGATCGAACGTTGATTCCAATTGGGATTTGGTTTTAGTTTAAATTGAAACATGTTTACCAACAATGTAATGACTTAAATAAAGATAGTTTTTAATAAATATATAATTATGTATACGCTTTTACTTAATATTAAAGTGTTTTAATTGAGGAGCCTCACTTTATTAACAAACATGGCCTTATCGGACACTCGATTGCAGCACCTTGCCTTATCGATAACAATCTCCTCTTTGCTATCGATTATATTCCTATACAGTTCTACAAAATTCTTAATTTAATTGAATTATTTAAATAAAGTACAATAATACAACTCTAAATAGCACCATCCACCTCGTGGTGCTCCAGATGCTTCATGTAGGCCAAAAAGCATGTCCAGCAGAGGCTGCAGGCGCTTATAAACGGCACCCGATTGCGCTCGGGGATCAGGCTAAAGTTAATGGTGGCCACCAGCGGCCACACGCACAAAGCCACCTGTCAAAGAGGCAAGGATTACAAGGATATCGTCAATTTGGACTAGTACTCATACCTTGTAGGTGGGCAGGAACTTTTTGCCCACTTCGGCCACCGCCTCCTCCACCGTCTTGGACTCCAGCAGGCTCATGATGAAGTAGAAGCAGGTCATGGCACCGGGCGTATAGGATACCGTCTCCACTGCCGCCTTGATGATGCCCGTACGCAGCGATGTCTGTGGCCACATGGCGCTCGAGACCTGGACAAGATCGGGTAGAGGTAGAGGAGCTCAAAGAAGAGACTTGGCTGGTTGGAAACTATGGCATACCTTGACCCAGCCATAAAGTGTGGGTGCCACAAAGAGGCCGCCGTACATGCTGAAGCGCAGGACGCGCCACCAGTCGTAGGTGCCTGCAGGAAGTGAAGGTTCCATGGCATGAAAACCAGGAAACCGAAGGATATATACATATATACTCACCCCAGCTCCTGCCCTCGACTGTCTGCTGGATGAGGCTACCCGTGGGCCAGATCAGGCTGTACGATATCATGCCGCGCATTATCGGGTAGCGGGTGACGAGCACCTTGAGCCTATGCCACATTATTTGCAATCTCGACCTGTGCCTGCGGAATCACAATCGCCGGAATTGGCATCTCATTAGCATGGCTAATGGGGGGGAGGAAGCATGGCCAGCCCAATGTGCGGGTACCCACAAAAAACCCCCAGCGAGCGCCCCCAATAAATGCGCCTGCTCCACTTGCCATGCCGTCACAGACAGAGCAAGCTGCCATGGGATCAAGTACTGCCCTGCTGCTCCTCCTAGCCACCACCTTTGCCTTGGCTATTGCAGATCCTGGAAAGATTGTCAATGGCACTGCCGCCTCGCCTGGTGAATTCCCCTTTATGGTCTCCCTGCGCCGTGCCAAAAGTGGCCATCACTCCTGCGGCGCCACTTTGCTCAATTCCCACTGGGTGCTGACCGCCGGCCATTGTGTTCGTGGCTCCTCGCCGGAGCAGCTAAATCTTCAGTATGGCAGCCAAATCTTGGAACGGAATGCCACCCAATTGCTACGCATAGCAGGGATCTTTCTGCATCCCGGCTATGAGCCGCAGGACAAGTATGCCAACGACATAGCCCTCCTGCAGCTGGAGGATAGGGTGACCTTCGGGCCACATGTCCAGCCAGTGCGTCTGCCCGAGCCAAGACAGACCACGCCCGGCAATGTCAGCGTTATCCTAGCGGGTTGGGGTTTAAATAAGGTAAAGATCTTGGTCCTGTGGAGATCTTCGTCAGAAGTTAACACTCTCTTTCCCTTTCCAGACCGGCGGCTCGGTGCAGGAGCAACTGCAAAAGGTCCAGCTGCAGGTGTTCAGCGACGAGGAGTGCAGCGAGCGGCATCAGATCCAGCTCCATGACAGCCAGATCTGTGCAGGTTTGCCCGAGGGCGGCAAGGGTCAGTGCAGCGGCGATTCCGGTGGCCCCCTAATCCTCACCAGCAGCAGCAGTGACTCCACTCAGATTGGCATTGTTTCGTGGAGCAAAAAGCCCTGCGCTCGCCCACCCTATCCCGGCGTCTTTACAGAGGTCTCCGCCTATGTGGACTGGATTGTGGAGACGGTGGGCAGCTCCTCCCAACCCTCGCCGCTGTGGATTGGCCAGCTCATTGTGGGACGCTCGCCGCCGCCCAAACTAAACTGATTCTAGAGGGGATTCTTCGAAATAAAAACTACCAATGCATGTAAGCTAAAAATCTATCTAATTCAGGGATTAACGACAGGTTGCTGCTGCTCCTCCTCCTCGTGACGCGTCTTCATGTAGGCCAAAAAGATGGTCCACATCAGGCTGCAAATGCTCACAAATACCACGCGATTGTGCTCCGGCACCAGTGAGAAGTTGATGGTCTGCAGGAAGGGCCATATGCATACGCCAACCTGGGTTAGTAATGGAGATTAATCATTGATGAACGAGGAGTGGAGGCTTGGGCGGAGTGAGAGGGTTTGAGACCACCTACCTTATAGGTGGGCAAGGCCTTCTCCTTGGTCTCGTCCACCGCCTGGCTGAAGGTCTTAAACTCCAGCAGGCTCATGCCCATAAAGAAGCTGACGCAGGCAAAGGGTCCGTAGGATAGCTGCTCGGTGATGGCCTGCAATGGGGGCAAGGGTTGATCTCTGCCAGAAGCTGCTCCTGCTTCCCCTTTAACTTACCTTGACTATACCCGTGCGCAGGTTTGTGTGTGGCCACATGGCGCTGGTTAGTCTCACCCATCCATACAGCGACGGAGCCACATACAAAGCTCCAAAGAGGCTAAAGCGTAGGGCACGCGCCCAGTCGTAATCACCTTTAAAACCGGGGAGGAGGAGAAGGAGGAGGCGGCAATGATGGGTGAGGTGCCAGGATACTGGGTTAAAGTTTACACTCACTTGGCTTGCGGCCCTCCAGCGTCTGTTGGATAATGCTGCCCGTTGGCCACATCACTGCGTATGTCAAAGCGCCCTTGGCCATGGGATGCAGCTTAGTGCGGCGTCTCCACTGCGAGGCCAGTGAGGCCTGCAGCAGTCTAACGGCCTGCGGCACCATAATATGGTGTTCCTTAGACTCTAACTAAAGCTGGCGGCGGAGCAAAAGGAAGATTGATCTGGTCCTCAAAACTAACCAAAGCAACAACAACAACAACGAAGGAGGAGGAGCATGACTCAAGGTCGCTAATGGCATCTGTGAGAGCGAGCAGTGCAGGCTGGCCCTGGCCATGGCCATTTCCCCCCCCATTTTGTGGATACTTGCTGTGCACTGTGATTGATATTCGTATTCTCCGAACGCTGCACGATAACTAAATGAATGAATGAGTGGATTTTCTAAATTTGAACACAATTATTAAGCTCCTTTTGCATTGATCTTGACAGTGAGTGCATTTCCTAGTGGGTTGCAACAACACTTGCAGGCTCGCTCACGCTCACGCTCACTCTCCCCCTCCCTCTCTCTCTCTCTCTCTCTCTCTCTCTCTCTCTCTCTCACGCAATGCGAAAAGAGCGAGATGGGGCAACGGAAGTGTGTGCTCACAAGGACTTTATGTAACAGAGCGAGAGGGAGGTAGGCTAAACTTGAATGAATGGAAAATAACGGCACGTTTGGCTCTCAGCCCCAAATCACTACACAAACAGAGAGTGTGTGCGATTACGTAGCTGGTAAACTAACGGATCATGTCAGAGCAATATAAATTAACGTAATTGTGTTGTTGTCGTTGTCTGGCTTTGTTGTTGCTGTTGTTGCTAGGTGGCTGGATCTCACTTACCTAGAAGTTTTATTGTCAACGGGGGGTGGGGGGTGGAATTAGCCCTAGTGTCTAACTTATTGGAATTCTAGTTTGTACTTTGGTTACGCACGGCGTCCGCATCGCTCCGTTTTGGTTACGTTCTCTGACTAACAAAATACGAAAACAGCCTGAGATGTTTTGCTAAAGTCAGCTGTTCGAGATTAGCGAATGCTTCTCACCCCAATCTCATGGAGCTTTTATAGCTTTTGCGGGGGCGGGTGGGGGCGCACGCTCTTAAATTAATAAATGTAAAGTGAAATAGCAGGATTTTAACTAAAATATTAGATATTCTTAATTTTTCTGATAAGAATTACTGAAAGGAAAATAAACCGTTGCGGTAAATCACTCGATAGTTTATCTTATCGATATCGATTGATGTGTTGGTGCATATTGCACATCCCTAATCGGCGGAAAACAAAAAATGCGACAACGGTGGTGGCCTGGCGACGTTGGGCTGCTCCTGCTACTCCACTTGCTGCTTCAGCCCGCCGCCCCACACCGCAACGACACCGCCATCCGCAGCGGCAACGGTGACAGTGGTATTCGGCACAGCAACAGAGCCTCCTGTCCGCAGCGACACCTCGCCGAAATCCTGCCGCCACCGAACACCTGCCCCCCGGAGGTACTGCATCTAAGGGGCACCGTGTACATCCTGTACGATGTCAACATATCCGAGGGCTTCAATCTGCGCCGCGATGTCTACATCCGCATGGCGGTCTTCGTGCGTCGCCTGCGGCAGCGACGCAAGCGCTTCCGGAACGTGCGCCTGGTACTGCCGCCGTGGCCACGCCTCTACCACTGGCACTCGCAGGGCCTGCACCAGAACGGGCTGCCCTGGAAGCACTTTTTCGACCTGGACAGCCTGCGACGCTATGCTCCCGTGCTGGACTACGATGAGTTTCTGGCGGAGCAGCGGCTCTTTGGTGCACCGGGAGCGCCGCTTGTACATGTGACGCACGCCTTCCGGCTGCAGCACTACGAGGTGATGCTGGAGCAGGGCATCTTCCGGGACAAGTTCGAGCGCGTGACGGACAAGGCAAAGTGCAGCGAGGCATCGCTGGCGGGCGGGCCGCTGCTGCAGCAGCAGCCGGAGCTTCAAGTGGAGCGCTTCCATTGTGTTCGCTTTCAGGGCAGCGCCGGCCTGCTGGAGCAGCTGCTACGCGTGGCCATTGCCGAGGATACCGCAGGACCGGAGGACGCAGACGATATGCGAACCTACGCCCTTCTCAGCGCCGAGACCGTGCTCCACGATCATTGGGGCGATGAGCACTTTTGGCGAGCGCGCCGCTCCATGCGCTTTGCCCAGCGACTCAGCCAGGTGGCCAAGGATTTCCGCCACCAGGCACTGGCCACCACGGACACCTCAGCGGGCGTGCAGCGGCCGGCCATGTGGGAGCTGGAGCGACCCAAGCGGAATGCCCGCGGCGGAGATTATCTGTGCGCACATTTGAGGCGCGGTGACTTTGTGCGCTCACGGGAGGCGACCACGCCCAGTTTGAAGTCCGCCGCCCAGCAGATGAAGCAACTGATGCGCGCCTTCAATGTGAGCACCGTGTTCGTGGCCAGCGATGCCACGCCCTACGAACTAATGGAGCTCAAGGAGCTCTTCTATCGCTTCCGCTTTGTCCATTTTACACCGGAATCGAATGGGCAGCGGCGCGAGTTGAAGGATGGGGGTGTGGCCGTGGTGGATCAACTTGTGTGCTCGTATGCCCGCTATTTTGTGGGCACCTACGAGAGCACCTTCACCTACCGGATCTACGAGGAGCGCGAGATCCTGGGCTTCAGCCAGGCGAGCACATTTAATACCTTCTGCAAGGCTCTGGGCGGCAGCTGTGCCCGGAATGCCGTCTGGCCAATTGTCTGGGATGATGATGAGGAGGAGCAGGAGGAGGATCCCTACTGAATCCTGACCCATTGTGTTCCAAAAAGAGGAGAGAAGCGAAGCACTCGAATCCTAGCTTTAAGATCAGCAAACCGAAATTCCGAACAACCTGCGATTATGTACCAAAAAAACACTCGTAAATCAATTTTGCATTTAGGTGTGAAAATTGCTTAATAAAACTAAATATTTTTTAAAATAAAAGAACAAATAAAATAGTAAAAAAAAAAGTTATTAGAAGAGGTTTTTCAAGGGGGGAATTTATAGTTCTTCGGGGAAATGCTTAACAACTAAAAAAACAAATATTAAATTAACAAATTTTTATTAATAAAAATGAATAAATAATTTTGTAATTTAAATATTTAAACGGCTTAGCAAAAAATCGATTTATCGATAGGCTGCCGACCCATTAGTGTGACCAGCCGCATGCAATGGCCTTAAGCCAGCCGAGTTTAGAGCGGGTCATACTGTGGAAAAAGATTGTTTTTTTTGCAATCTCTTTTCGCACTCGCAAAAAAAAAGAAAAAATAATTAAAAAGAATTCGTAAATTGCAAAACCCTAGGCGGCAGTGCGGGAATGCAGCAAACACAGCGAAAAACAACGAATTAGTAAATGAAGTGAACGCGAAATAACAACAACAACAACCGTGAGCCGCAGCTCTCCCACACACACACACACACACGTCCCCCCCTTCCCTGTCCGTGTAGAGTTGAGTGTGCGAGTGTGTGTGAGTTTGCAAAGTTCGGACTTGGACACACACACACACAAGGCACACCTGTGCAGGAACTCGCAGGATTGCTGGGCTGCCAGGCGACACACCGCGTCGAAAAGCCGCCAGGAGAACACCCACAGCTGGAAAGCTGAAGCTGGTCCTTCAGCAGAGCAGGATTTGTCCAAGGATCCACAAAGGAGACCAACCAACTGGATGCCCGGCTTCCACCTCAATGAGATGGGTGAAATGGTCCTGGACGCCATCGATGACATCGGCGTGGTCGATGTGTACGATCTGGCCTCGGACATTGGCAAGGAATACGAACGGATTATGGATCGCTATGGGACAGATGCCGTCAGTGGCTTAATGCCAAAGATTATCAACACTTTGGAGCTCCTCGAGGCGCTGGCCACCAAGAATGAACGTGAGAATGCCACCATTCAGGAGCTGCGGGATAAGGTGACACAGCTGGAGAGCGAGAAGCTAGAGAAGGCCGAATTTCGGCGCAGATTCGAAAAGGAACTGGAACTCATCGAGGAGCAGTGGCGCAGTGAGACCAACGAACTGGTCGATTTGGTGTCCTCCCTTCAGGATGAGAACAAGCGATTGGTCAAGCAGACGCAGGATTTGCAATCGTCCTCCGCCCAAAGCTCTGGCCTGGGGGCCAGTCTCACCGAGAGCATCATTAGCATGACCAACCATGAGCTGCACAGTGCCCTATCTGACACCCAGGTGTTGCAGCGGCTCAAGGAGCAGATCTACAAGCAGCGGGATGAGCTAAAGCAACGCGAGCGAGAGCTCCAGGACAAATACAGCGAGCTGGAACATGTAGGCAAACCCATATGCCAGGTCATTTAACATTTGAACTTATTCCCAGCTTTGTAACTTTTCCAGCTCAACATCCAAGCGGAGCGCCTGAAAGGCTCTGAGCGGGACACCCGGCGGCGTCACAAGCTCATGCAGGCCCAGGTCAAGACGCTGTGCGAGGAGCGTGCCGATTTTCTAGCCCAATTGCAGGACCAAAGCCGCGAGATCAACCAACTGCGCAAGCGCCTGGGCCTGGCCGAGAAGGAGAACGAGGATCTGGTGGCCTCCTATGACGATGGCCAAAACGATCCAAATCGGCCACGTTATACCACCCGTGAACTCAAGGAGCTAATCAGCGAACGGGACGAGCTATTGACCACCATCGATGGGCTGAATGAGCAGCTGGCGGAGCTCAAGCCACCACCACCGCCGTCGTCCAAGGCCAAGCGCCAGCGACATTTCTCCAGTTCCGATGACAGCGACGATGAGGACGATGGTCATGTGGCGGACAACGATGACGACGACGACGAGGATGATGATGAAGAGGAGGCGACCGAAGCGGATGAAGTGGAGCCACCAGCCGCTGGAGAGACGTGAGTGTTTATACATTATATATTAATGGGGTTTATGGTTTAATTATGATCACTTGGCTATTTTTAAGCTTTAAAATAATGACTTTCATGATTAATGGTTAGCTATTAGGTCGTGACTCATTGTTTTTTATTTAGTTTTCGTGCAGTGCTAAACATATTCAAATAGACTCCATGATGCAAGCACCCTTCAAACAGGTGATTCATCATTGGTTTGGCGTTTTTTTGTATTTTTTTGTGAGCTTTTTATGAAGGTTAAATGTTATTTAAATATGTCACTTGATGTTTGTATGCGTTTATTGAGGTAATTAAACGGTAATAAGGCCATTCGGTTGAGGGAAGGCCTTTAATTTTTGTATTTTTTATAGTAAATCCCTCATATATTCCCATTTTGTAGGCCGCCTGGACACGATGCACCCGTGCAGGGACCTTTGCCATACGAACCGGACGATGCGCCGTGGAAAAAGAGCTCCGAGTCGGGTATACGCAAGTTGTAAGTACTAAAAAAAATATATTAAAAATAATATTTCTAATTAATATATAATAAAATAATTTCTATTTTATATTTTTCAGCTTCCGGAAACTTTTCTCGGATCCATCGGACGGCAACAATACATTCCCGAAACGTTCCTTGGCCACGCTCTCAAAGATGGCACTGTCGGCCACGCCGGGCTCCGTTTCCGCCACCGCCTCCGAGGCGGCGAAGTAAGCGCCACTCCCATATAAAACCAACCATACGAGTTGTTTTCGGCGTGCATTTCACACTTTTGTTTTGTTTGTTTTTCTGTTTTTCCGTTTCCGTTTACGTTCCATTCCGTTCCGTTCCGCACCCCCCTGCATCTTTATCTATTTATTTATTTTATTTATTTATTATTTACGATTAACGATTTAGTTTAGGCCAGTGTTTACTCCATTTGAGCCTATCACTGGCCATTTATCTGCTCCGCCTGAGCTGTACATATATAGTTTACACACTCGATTGCTGTGCCCTTGTAATTCTAAGTTGTTATGCAATTTTATTTACGTAATATGAGTTTTACGTTATTGTTTCAAATTTACCCACGTAACTGTACTTGATTCTTTTGTACTTTTGTATTTATTCTAACTTTTAAATTAAGAGAGAACCCAAAAAACACTTATACAACACACATATGCATATGAAAAGTGTTCCAAAGAACAAGGAGATCGAAAGCAAATTGTTTGCCGAGTGAGTTTTTAATGAATTTAGAGACGAGAGATGACTAACGCGTAACGATTAACGAGTAAAGAAAAGACATCAAACCCCTTATAACTGTAACGAGTAACAAGTAACGAGTAACGAGTAAAGAAAAGACATCAAACCCCTTATAACTGTAGAATCAAATCGAAAACAAATCGAAGAATGAGGACCCCAGAGTTTTTTTTTAGAGAGTGTAAGACGAATGAGAAGGTTTTTGCTTCAATTATCCGTAGTCTAACTATCCCCCTTTGATCCCATTAACCTAAACACCTGCTCTATCGCTATTTCCCGAATCTGTTTTTTGGAATTGGAAGGTACTTTTAGCATTCTCATAGCAGTTGCCCCAAGCGGCCTTATATTACAAATTTATCAAAAATGAAAAAACACTAAAAATATGCAAACGTTTAGAAAAAGACATATATATATACATATATATATATATATTAATTATTAGCAAACGTTACAACCTTAGCGCATTGTTTGTTGAATTGAATTAAAAAGAAACTATCTCTAAACGAAACCAAACTAAACAAATTAGATTCCATTGAACGCATTAGAAGCGCCACAAAAAATACAAGATAAAGGAAAATCTCAGTATAAATATGTCTGAATATCAGCGAATGTTTTAGCCAAGAGTTTTACCATATAGACTTAGCCACGCCAACTAACTGACCAGCTGTCTCTCTCTCTCTCTCTTGCTCTTGAATTCTTGTTATCGCCGCTTGAAGATATATATCTATCTATGAATAAACCCTATCCCTACTTTTCTTCTTATTAATGAATGCTGTTTATCGCACACGAAGCTTGCCCCAGACAGCTCTCCTAGCAACGATTAGATGGAGCTCTTTGTCCCCCCAGATCAGCTGTCTCTGTTTATTTGGTTTTTTAGGAAATATAAATGAATTCGCTTAAAATATTGGACCAATAAAATCGGCAGAATAACAGAATAAAAAATTTAAAAATTTCGATATTTAAAAATACGATATTTTCGATATTTTTCAATATATTATATTGGTGTTATCTTTCTTTTTTTTTAGAAAATGTCGATATATTGATACTTTATCGATATATAAACAAATTCGCTTGATATATAGGACCAATACAATAGGAAGAAGAGGCAAATTAAATCACACATTTTGCTTATTTTTCTATAATATCAAATATTTCGGTAATCAAATATTCTCTACATCAAAGTATACGATATTTTTGATATTTTTTCGATATATTCTAATAGAGTTATCTTCTTTACTATAAAACTGTTACTAAAGATCCTAGTAACCCCCAGTTTTTCAAGCTTTTTATATTCTTTCGACACAGGACAGCCGGTTTGGGGTGCTCCTTGACTTGCGTAACATATCAGCTTTTGTCGATTGCATCGATTTTTAATGTGCCAAAGACTAAATGTCACCCCCGCTTAATCCTAACCAAACCCCAAACCAGAAAACCCAAAACCCAACCTGCAGCCTATAAACTCTCCTCCAACAATCAAATCTCGTTTCAATTACAAAAAAAAAGGAACAACAAATTGTGGCAACTGAACTTTTATACATATTTGAATATGATATAACGAATATGATGATATGATATGAGCGTTAAGATGGACTAACAAAAAAGAGTATAGGATCGCGAGCTACACGAGAGGAGTAGGATGTGGTGGAGAGTAGGAGAGACATTCGAGTGTGTTTGGTGAATTAATGTTAACTAAATTTATATACACATATACACATGCATTATACATAATATACTTTACTATATACACTATATGTAATACCGTATTATATGGAACTATGTGTGTGACTAACCAAAAAGAAAGGCAACAATTATACAAATTATGGTACAAGGCAGCGACGACTACCTGGGGACCCCAAGCGAAGCGGCATGAAGTGGATCCCAGTCCCTCACGGAGGAGGAGTGCAACGGAACGGACATCCCCGGGCAGCTCGTGTGATCGATCGCCTCTGAGATCCCTCTGTACGTACATACAAAATTATGAGTGGCGGCGGCTCCCACGTGAGAGCAAACGTCAAAAAAATAAAAACTTATGAAGAATTGACATCGATTTTGGGTCTTTCTTTCTTACTTCTTAAGGGAGGGGGGGAGAATAACTGGTAGCCTTGAAAAGGTTTCCTAGGTTTCCTTGAGGCCAAGGCCAAGGACAATATGAGTTGAAATAATTACATATGACGCAACCTTTCTGGACCGGGGATTCCCCCCCATTACCACTTTCAAGGATTTCGCTTCACGAAAGCTTTTTCACCAACGAAAGCTTCTCGCTAGGACTTTCTGTCACGGGCTAAGAACTTGCGCCGTCCACATCCTGCGCATTCGCGTCCGCATCGGAGGCTGCAGCATCTCGTCCTGCTGCCGTGTCCTGTCGCTTACTGGGCGCCTGTTAGCCATGCCGGGTTTGAGGCGTATCTAGGGCGTGGATCCACGACCTTGACAAAGTTTCCTCCGGCTTCTGCTCCTCCTCTGCGGCTGCGTTTTAATTGCCCAGCAACAGGCGGGGTGGGCTGAGGCGCCTGCTCTCTCTCTCTCCCTCTCTCTCCCTCTCTCTCTCTGGGATGCGTTGGCCATTCTCGAGGGGATTTCCACGCAGTTCCCAATTAAGCAATTAAAAATCCAGCCAGCCGGTTGGGCTGGGGGCGTTGTCAGCTTTTTAATTAAGAAGATGTTAGCGTAATAGGATAGAAGAAGATGCGCTGCGAAATCCGTAGGTCGAAATGTGCGCGCGGCTAATGAAGAAACGTTGTCGTCTGTGGTCAGTGGGAAAGGGAATTGGGGGAGGGAACGGTGATGGTGATGGTGGTGGTGGTTTGCTTCGTTTTCCACTAATTGGCCTGGGCCAAGGATGAGGGAGGGGAAGCAGCAGCCATTGTGGTGGGGATTAATTAAAAGAAAGGAGCATTTAATGAGTTTTTCTGCAGGCAGAAGCGCACACACACACACACACAGAGGCCCCTTCTTAGTGGCAGTCGTCGTCTGGGTGCCGAAGCATCCGCCGGGTTGGCCAGGACAGCGCCCGTCTCTTGCCATCGTCGTGGTCGTGGTCGTTGTCGATAACTCGTGCGACGATTTCAGGGGCCTTCAGTCAGTCGATTTTCGAACAGGCTCACAGCAAAGGCAGCTGGTTGGGCCGGAAGGCCGTTGGTTTCGCAGGGGGCGGAAAAGACAACTCGAAACTCCCACCAGCGAGCTGTGTACAGTGGGCGCCCGAAAAGAGCAACTCAGGTGGAATATGTTGGGATTGGAAATTAACTAAAAAAAAAGAAAGGCAATTCAAATCTGTTTCTGTTAATTTGAAGTTATTTTTAAGCTTAGTTAATAATCATATTATATTATATTATATACATCATATTATTAATATAATTTATTTATATTGACATGTGTTTTTTAGCTTCACTGTTTTGTAAAACACCGCAATAACCCTGGTATTATAAATATTTATAAAAATATTTACACTTTTAAAAGTATTTCCATTATCTCACATTTATTTCCCGTTGAATTACTTAAGCAGTATTCACTGTACATCAGCTTTAACAAGCTTTGCCAGAGAGAATTGTTATGCTCTCAACTGCGCGCCTGTCTCTCTCATTTTAACAGAACTCTGTTACTCTCATCTGGGCACCAAAAGTTATAGTAACAGATGTGGTTCGAGTCTCAGATGTGGATTTTTTTAGGCGAAAAAACCAAAATTTTAATCTGGTAACACTGGTTTATGGCGCGACGCCATTTTTACAATTAGAAACCCAAGTTCTTCTGCTTTCTCTTTTGTCCTGATATTCTTTGGCGTCGTGAAAAAACTGCAGAAATAATGAAAAACTATCTATTTGCGAATGTGAAAAGGCTGTGCGATCTCAAGTTATACAAGTGCGTCGTTCCAGCAGTAAAATTAAGTCGAAAAACCCACTGCAAAAGTAAAAACGTAAAGAAAAGCAGTTAGAAACCGAAGTTCTTCTGCATTCTCTTTTGTCCTGATATTCTTTTGCGTCGTGAAAAAACTGCAGAAATAATGAAAAACGCTGCATTTGCGAATGTGAAAAGGCTGTGCGATCACTAGTTATACGAGGGCGTTGTTCCAGCAGTAAATATTAAGTGGAAAAACATTAGAAAAGACTCCCATTCGTCAAAAAATGGACCTGTGCGCGTGTGTTCTATTAACCAGCGATCTTAAATCACGTCCATGCCATCGGATTTGGTAAGATTCCACTTTGATTGCCACATCCTCTTGTGAGCCTAATCCTGGTGAATTCTGCCTCTCCTCACAGGTTCCGTGCTCCGCTCCTCAATTTCCAAACAAGCCGCGTTCTTACAAAAAAACACGTTCGTACACGTAAACACGTGTCAATTTAACGGGACCCGCGTGTCTCCCAACATGTTGGTCCGCCGTTGAAGCCGTTTTTTTGCGTTGCAACATCGCCACCAGGGTGCTCCGAAGACATATCCCCAATTTCCTGGCCAAATCCATCCGCCAGAGACGAGGCACCCAAGAATATAATAATGAGTAAGTTGTTAGTTTTAAACCCAAGCCATTTAAAACAAGAGAAAACAAACACATCTGGGGATTATATACTGTTTTTGGAGAAAGGGCAATATATTCACTAAACGCAATTGATCACCGGCTGGCCTGCATTGCTACATTTTGGTTGCAACATGGACGCATGTCTTATTGGAATGAACATTCTAGGAACTTGCCCTAGATGGATGACCAGGCGCCCAGCAGGCGGAGCACAGTCACGACCCAAATCTGAAAGCAAAAACGTGAGAGCAAAAGTGCGGAAAGTACAACGAAGAGAGTGTGTGTGTGTGAGAAATGGTTGCTTGGCTTGCGCCTTGGCTAAGCTTTTTCACACAAAATAAAGCTTAAACTTTTTGTTTATAACAATGTGGCGGGAAATTTAAAACGAGTGAATGAAGAATGAATGAATAGTAATGAATGAAGGATTTTATTCCGCCTTTCGGCGAGTTTCGTCCGTCATTTTTGTACAATAAGTGCTCCAATTTGGACAGGCGAGCAGAACTGCCAACTGGAAACTGGAAACTGCCAGCGGGCGGGAATGTGGAGCGAGCGGGCGGGAATGTGGAGCGAACAACAAGTTCTGGTTGGAGTAGCTCTTTTTTTTTGTTGTTTTCTTTGTTATTCCCATTCTTATTACCAGTTACTACTACATGCAAGCAAAAACAACAACGTGTGTGCATTTTACTTCAATTCAACTCGGCTTAGTTCAAGTTATTATACATAATTAACTTAAAAAACTTAATTATTTTACTTATTTTGATTGATTTTTACTTGGTTATTTATTTGCAGTTATGTTTTTATCAAAGATAATGCATCGCAATCGTAATGGAAATTATGTGAAAAAATCAACCAAAATGCAGTGTAAGTAAATGATAAAAATAAACTTGAATAGCTTATTATTTCTTATTTTATAATAAAATGTATAAAATATAATATTTAATTATATTATTTATAATATTTATTTAATAAAACCCCTTATTTGGCAGCTCCATTTAAATCGCCATTCCTCGTCCAATTAACATGTCATTGGGACCGGACCAACTGAGAGGCAGTGTCAACGCCGAGAAGGATGTGGAATGAGCTCTGTGAGGCGGAAGAGATGGATCCCAGCGGCAAACCGAATCCCTGCCTGGGACTGGTATGGCGGACAAAGAGAATCCGGGTGCCAAGTGCCGGCTACAATGGGTGAGTGTCAAGTGTTGATATTTAAGCTGCTAAGCAGGAAAAACAGGGCCTCGGGTAGCTAGCTAGCACCTCCTTGGCGCTTGGAAACCCAAAACCCCATTGAGGAGGTGCAGGGAAATAAAATTTGGTCAACGAGTGTAGGAGGCAGGAGAGGAGGGAATGTTGCAATGAATATATGGCAACTGCAATGCAGCTGGCCCCTAGGCGGGGGCGAGAGATACTGCCTAACGAACTAACAAAAGGCAACTCTGTGGCAGCTGCACTTGTCCCCACACTAAATTCAACTCAATTCGAGGAAATACCACCCCCCAGCCTGGACATTCCCGTTGGCCACCAGAAATGGCGACAAAAAACAAGTTTAAAAAAGAAAAAGAAAAACCCTGCCCTACCGGAAATGGCATTTAAGCGGATTTCATTCTTTGAGTACTAAGCTGGCGGTGATGAGGGAAGACGGGAGGACAGGGGAGAGGGGACAGGGGAACAGGTTATTCGGCACTCTGAATAGTCGAAAGTTTGAGTCAACCTCTGTAAAGAAGAAACGCCTGAATGATGTTTGAGGACTCCCGCAGGGATAACGCTCTGAATAGCCAAAAGCAAGCACTGCAAGGGACATAAGTAATCGCTGGATTTAAGTAAGCGAGGGGAGAGCCTTTCCATTAAAACAGAAACACAGAAACTGACCTTCAATTGATGCACAAAATTAAGGGAACTATTAATGATTTAATAGGTTTTTTAGTGGCTTTAATTAACTGAAATTTCTTTAATTAATTAGTATAAAGTTAAGAGAAGGGTTTTAGAAAAGCGAAAAAGTCATATTTATTTTAATTCAGCATTAAAATCTTAGCTATTAAAAAATAATACATTAAAGAAAATAAAACAAGAAAAAAAAAAATTTTTTTTTAATTAAAAATATTATGCACATTTGTTGACATGTTTGAGTGCAATATTTTTGTTGTTATATAATTTTGTCAATATATTCATTTGTAATAGTTAAAATTTTAAAACTGATTTTAAATATATATATACAGCGCAAAAGTGCTAAAATCTATATTTTAAAAT